GGTTGCTTGCTGTCTGCAGTACGACCCTGCTCACCTGCTTCACCATCCCACCATGGTCCTGCTGTAGTTGGGACCCATGGGGGCCGGCAGTGCCTCCACTGCTGCCCACTGCTAGCACTGCATCACCAAGGCCCGCCATGTTCTGCACCGCCCCCTGGTGATCAGTGCATGTCATAGAGAGCGGTCAAACTCCGGGTTGAACAATTTGCATATTAGGCTTTTATTATATACTATATAAAGCTCTCACTGGCGCTATTTGCATGCATATGTTTCCGTCTCATTGTTGATCGTGAATTTGGTTGACACTTGTATTATAGAGAAAGGGTGAATAGCGATATTAAAATATTTCTTCTAATTAATTTCCTTTAATTAAGGCACTAGTTTTAAAATAATACTCTAAAACTTTTGATAGTAAGATTTTAAAATCATTTTACTTTAAAATACTTATTTTTTAAATCCCCCTTCCCTTTGGTAACCATCAGCTTGTTCTATACATCTATGGGTCTGTTTCTGTTTCGTTTAGTCATTTGTTTTGTTTTTTTTGGATTCCACATATAAGTGAAATCATATAGTATTTGTCTTTGTCTTTGACTTATTTCACCTACCATAATACCCTCTAAGCCCGTCCATGTCCATCCATGTCAGAAATGGCATTTTTTCATTCTTTTTTATGGCCAGATAATATTCTGTTGTATATATGTTCCATACTATCTTGATCCAGTTGTCTATGGATGGATACTTAACATTGCTTCCATGCCTTTGCTATTGTATAGGGGTTCATATGTCTTTTCAAATTAGTGTTTTTGTTTTCTCAGGATAAATATCTGAGTGGTATTGCTGGTTCTTAAGGAAACTCTATTTTTAATTTTTTTGAGGAACCTCCATACTATTTTTCAGAGTGCTGCACAAATTTACAGTCCCACCTATAGTGTAGGAGGGTTCCCAACAGTTATTTGTTGATTTTTTGATGATAGCCATTCTGATATTTCTGAGGTACTGCCTTTGCTTTTGTTCTGTAATAATTTTGTTCTCTTAAGAAATCCTTCCAGTGTTATCATATCTTTTTTTTAAATGAGGAACCAGAATTTATTTTGTGTGATTTCTCTCAATTTTTAAGTGTTGACAGAGATTTCAGTTTAAAGACCTTCCTAGCATGTCTGAAAAAACAATGTCACTCATTTATAAAGCCTTCTTTGACCTTTCTTCTTTCCTCCTGCAAAATTAATTACTCAGTTTTTGTACAGTCCTATATATCAGCCCATAATTTTCAAATGTTGTTAAACAATTCAGATATCAGTAATAACATATAAAAAAGTTTTTAAAAAAAACTCATGTAAACGTTCAGTAAATGGGATTTATATAGTCAATTTAATAAGGAATATTAAATCCAGCTTGTGTGGCTCAGTTAGTTGACTGTCATCCCATATACCAGGAGGTTGCTCACTGTTCTGATTTCAGGTCAGGGCACCAGGTTGTAGCTCGATCCCCAGTAGGGTCGTGTAGGAGGCAGCCAGCTGATGTTTCTTGCTCATAAATGTTTCTGTTTCTCTTTCCCTTTTCCTTTCTTTCTTTGAAGTCAATAAAAATGTATTTTTTTTTAAAGGAATGCTAAAATAAAATTGCTAAAATATAAAATTGGTTTATCCTATAGGGTTTCAGACTGTAGTCTTTGGAATAATCATCTCTACTAGGCAGAAAACAATTTTGCTGTAATATTTTTCAATAAGTTTACCATAAATTTATAAACTGTCTGGCCTCTAATCAGTTATAAATAGGAAATCAAACAATCAGATAGCCTCAAATGAACATATTATAAAATGCTCTATCATGATCTTAAAAGCCACATAATCTTATTTTAGATTGAGAACTTTAAAACATGGTAATATTTATACTGTAGTAACCAATCACCCCTTTGTATCTTCTCTTTTAAAATATTAATTTATAAATTACTAGAATCACTAATGGAAGATTCAGATATATTTCTCCCTCTGCTCCTATTTGACTATGAGTTCTATAATAAATTTCCTACAGTAGAGTTCTATTAGAACACTAGCCATCAGCTTTGATCTAATCTGTTCTCAGTATCTATATGATAAAAGCCTAAGCAACCTTTACAGTGGAACGACCAGAAGTACTGGTTGCTATGATGCGCACTGACCACCAGGGGGCAGACACTCAGTGTAGGAGCTACCCCTGGTGGTCAGTGTGCTCCCAACAGGGGGAGAGCTGCTCAGCCAGAAGTCGGGCTCATGGCTGGTGAGCACAGCGATGGTGCCGGGAGCCTCTCCCACCTCCACAGAAGCATTAAGGAGCAGCGAGCAGGTGAGCAGTAAGGAGTGAGGGCTCCCGGACTGCGAGAGGGATGTCTACTTGCTGGTTTAGGTCCGATGCCTACAGGGAGTGGGCCTAAGCCAACAGGTGGACATCTCCCTAGGGGTCCCGGACTGCGAGAGGGCATAGGCTGGGCTGAGGGACTGCCACCCCTCCCCACCCCAGTGCATAAATTTTGTGCACTGGGGCCTCTAATATGTACAATAATTGTGTTCTCAGTAAATGTGCAACAATAGTAGTACAAATACTGTACGATAAGACAAATATATAGAACAGAGTCAGTAAGGCTTGGTGAGTTTGGTTTTGAAGTTTAAATATATATACAAATATATTTAATTCATGCACAGGTGGGGTCCCTCAGGGAGGCCTGTGGGGATTGGCTGAAACCCCCAGTCAAACGCTGCCTGCCACTCCTGCCTGATGCTCCTGCTCATCCCTCCCCGCTGCGTCTGCCACAAGCTCACACCCAGTCACTCCCAATGAGGAGTGGCTCACACCCTTATAGTAGCATCGCCAGCTATGAGCCCTGTGTCTAGAGCCCATCCCACAGAGGTGTGGGTGGCTGGAGTGTGATCAGCCCTCCGGGTGGGCAATGGGACGCCCTTGCCATCCAGGGATCTGAATTCGTCCTGCTGATGTTCACACTGGTTGTTGGGAGCCACCTGGCAACCGCTTTTATATTGTTTCTTTCTTGCAGAGGTGGGGGGGGGGAGGGGGAGAAGGGGAAGTGATCATGGTGCCTGAGGCCAACTTCCAGTAGATCGGCAGTGCCCATTCTCCGGAGATTGGACCTGTAGGACTACTGAGGGACTGAGTGGCTGCCAGTGGGCTGAGGGGCTGCCGGGACAGGTATGTTAGCTGAGCCACGCTCCCCCTGTGGGAACACACTGACCACCAGAGGGCAGCTCCTGTGTTATCTGCCCCTTGGTGGTCAGTACGTGTCATAGTGACTGGTCAATTTGTCGTTCAGTTGCTTAGGCTTTTATATATAGATACTTTATTTTTTCTTGGGGTGGAGATAGAAACATCAGTGATGAGAGAGAACCGTCAATTGGGTGTTTCCTGCACACCCCCTATTGGGGATGGAGCCCTCCACCTGGGCATTTACCCTGACCAGGAATCGAACCATGACCTCCTGATTCATAGGTTGATGCTCAACCACTGAGCCACACTAGCTGGGCAGATTTGAAGTTTAACCTGTTAACCGAGCAGGACCTATAAATACGTCAAACATAAACACTATCGGGAACGGGTAGGACATATGAATACGTCCTTGAAATATATGTTGTGCCCTGAGAGGGACGGTATATATTTTTTGTAATCTTTTTTTTTTTTTTTTAATATATTTTATTGATTTTCTTACAGAGAGGAAGGGAGAGAGGTAGAGAGCTAGAAACATCGATGAGAGAGAAACATCGACCAGCTGCCTCTTGCACACCCCCTACTGGGGATGTGCCCGCAACCAATGTACATGCCCTTGGCTGGAATCGAACCTGGGACCTTTCAGTCCGCAGACCGACACTCTACCGTTGAACCAAACCGGCTTCGGCTATAATCTTTATAATTGTGTGTAAAATTTATAATTTTTTAATTCTATGTTTCCATTTTTTTGTTGGTATTTTTTTCTATTTGTTTATAATTTTGTACTTTCCTTTGTGCTTTATATATAAGTAAACGAAAAAATATATATTTCATTTATTTTAATTAAGTATAAATAAAAAAATAATAATATAAAATTACGTCCGCTGGGTGTGACGTACTGACACGTCCTAGTGAAAGAGTATGCGCCCGTTGTATGTTGCGTAATTAAAAAGGGAACTCCCCGGTTAACAGGTTAAATAGGAGTTTCAGAAAGAAAGGGGAGGCCAAAACCGGCTTGGCTCAATGGATAGAGCGTCGGCCTGAGGACTGAAAGGTCCCAGGTTCGATTCTGGTCAATGACATGTACCTTGGTTTCGGGCACATTCCCAGTAGGGGGTGTGCAAGAGGCAGCTGATTAATGATTCTCTCTCATCGATGTTTCTAACTCTCTATCCCTCTCTCTCCCTCTCTGTAAAAAATCAATAAAATATATTAAAAAGAAAAAAAAAAAAAGAAAGGGGAGAACTAACCAAGTAGAGACAAATGTATGTGGGTTTTGGACTAGGTCTAGGTTATTGCCAGTGACATCAGATTCTAACCAATTTCTGCTCCCAAACCCCTTCTCCACCCCATTTTAATTTCAATTGAAGTATTTGCTGTCTAGACTATTTCCAGTTTAGGAGGATCTCCTTGTTTTAAAAGTTTGGTTATATTTATTCAGGTATACAGTCATATCCTGTACGGTAAATTCAGACCTAGGTTGTCTCAGTTTCAAATGAGAGAAAGTCACTTTTCATACTTATGTCACATATTTAGAATTAAAAAATATATATACCTACCTTCCTGATATGGCTTCATGGCTGAACTATGAAGCAGGAAGTCATAGTTCGATTCCTGATCAGGACACATGCCTGGGTTGTGGGCTTGTTCCCCATTGAGGGGTGTGCAGGAGGCAGCCAATTGTGATGCTCTCATTGATATTTCTGTCTCTCCCTCACCCTTTCTCTCTGAAAGCAATAAAAAAAAAAAAGTTAAAAAATAAATTATGCCTAACATGTCCATGTTTTTTGTGTTTATAGACCTGAAAAATGGCTGAAAACTCCAGTGACAGTGATTCATCTTGTGGTTGGACTGTCATCAATCATGAGGTATGCTATCTAATACTTTTTATAAGGCAACCATATATATATATAAGGCTAATATGCCAATCAACTGAACAGTGGACGACCGGTCACCATGACCACCAGGGGCAGACTCAACTCAAGAGCTTCCCACTGGTGGTCAGTGCGCTCCCACAGGAGGGGCGTGCTGCTCAGCCAGAAGCTGGGCTCATGGCAAGAGGGTGCAGGCCAGGCTGAGGGACCTCCCCTTCTCCCAGTGCATGGCATTCATTAGTTTGTAATATTACGGTGTTAGCAGTGATGTAAAGACTGAGTTCTTTGAAAGTATTTTTTTTCTACATTTAAGCGTACAATTTCATTGTCTCCAGCTTGGACATTTTCCCAGCTACATTCAACTTCATTACTGAAAACTCTATGAGCCAACATCTTTTACATTATTGCACATTGCTTTTCTCAGCTTTGAGACAGTAGGTAAATATTTATTGAGAGTTTATTATTGGTTAGGTTCTGTGCTTTACCTACATTCTCATATAATTTTAAATGTCTGGTATAGATTACTTTCATTCTCATTTCATAGATAAGAAAGGTAAAGTTTAAGAGAGGTTAAGTAATTTTCCCAAAAGTATAGAACTGGGAAATACCAGAGCCTGCATATAAAAATACCCAGAAAGGTACATGGAGAATATCTGTTCCACTTGTGATATATACCCTGTTTCCCCGAAAATAAGACAGTGTTTTATATTAATTTTTTCTCCCAAGGTTGCACTAGGTCTTATTTTCAGGGGAGGTCTTATTTTTCCATGCGCTAGATCTTATTTTCGGAGGATGTCTTATTTTTGGGGAAACACGGGTAGTAGCAGAACTTGCTAGGAAAAGCACCATGGCTACAGCTGTATCACAATGAATTTTATTATAGAAGTTTGATGTTTCATAATCTACACTAATAAAAGAGTAAGATGCAAATTGACCGTACCTTTGCGACTCTCACCACCCAGTCAGAAGCGAATATGCAAATTAAACCAACAAGGATGGCAGATTAATTTGCATACGCAGGTGCTGAGCGGCCAGGGGTGGGGCGGGACGCTTGCGTTTCACACTGTCCCAGCCACTCCGGGCCTCAGGGCAGCATGGGAAGGCAGAAAGTTGGCTTCAGGCAGGAGCAAAAAGGCGGTTCCAGCTGGAGTGAAGGCAGTGCTGACAGCCAGGGGAAAGAAGGCCCATTCTTGCATGAATCTTTGTGCATCTGGCCTCTATTTAGTACAGAATAAACATTATTTTCTCACACTGGTAATATATGTTCATTATAGAAAAATCATAAAATACTGAAGAATAGAAGCAATATAAAAATCTGTACCTATTCAAAATTTAATGGATTTATCTATCTCTTTTTGTTTTTAGGCTACCTTAAGCCTCACTTTTTTTTCCTTCATTAATAAGGATTTTAATGGCTGGTCTCGATTGCTTAGAGCATCTTCCTGATACACCAAAGTTGTGGGTTTGATCTCTAGTCAGAGTACATACAAGAAACAACCAATGAATGCCTAAATAAGTGGATCAACAAATTGATATAACACTCTCTCCCTCTCTCAAATAAATAAAAAGTAAATAAAAATAAACAGCATGTCAAACTTCAAAAATATTTTAGATGGCATTTTTTATAATTACTTTGATAATATGAGGTTTAGATAATCAGTCATATCTTCTAGAAAACAACATTACCAAAAAATGATTGCTTTTCTGCAAGAATGTTTCAAAATTTAATAGCAACTTTACCTATTGAGTTTGAGGTTTCTTTTCTTTTTTTTTTTTTTTTTTTTACCCTCACCCAAAGATATTTTTCTGTTGATTTTGAAAGAGAGTGGTAGAGAGAGGGAAAGAGAAATATCGAGACGAGAGAAACACATCGATAGTTTGTCTCCTGCACCTGCCCTGACCAGGGCTTGGCCAGGGAGGAGCCTGCAACCGAGGTACATGCCTTTGAGTGGTATTGAACCTCGGACTCTTTGTTCCACAGGTGAACACTCTATCCATTGTGCCAAACCAGCTAGGGCGGTTTCTTTTCTTTATTTGGGTAAGGTAGTTTCTTCTTTTAATAAGTGACTTTTCTAATTTTAACCTGTTTTCTATCAAGCTTAGATCAACTCCCTTAGCAACATCTTCTCCTTCAAGGATAATTAACTACCCTGTTTCCCTGAAAATAAGAGTGTCTTATATTAATTTTTTCTCCCAAAGTTGCACTAGATCTTATTTTTAGGGAATGTCTTATCTCTCCATGCGCTAGATCTTATTTTCTGAGGATGTCTTATTTTCGGGGAAACACGGTAGGTAGCTGTGGGGAGTCTTACTTGGGAATCCAGTGTGAAGCAAGTCAGCAAGTAAACCTCTCTGGCGTGAGGGTATTCTGTGTTAGGGATAGCTTATCATATATATATATATATATATATATATATATATATATATATATATATATATATATATATATACACCTGAATCCCTCTTTCCATTATATTTAGTTACCAAGTCTTACATGTGTGTTCTTTTTTTTTGCCTTTCCTACTGTTCCCATTCTGATTTAGGCCAGAACTGATCTCCCCTGAAACTACCAGCCCATCCCTAACTTTGCCTCAGTTTCTACCATTTCCTACCATTGTAGGCAACCCCAAAAACTTACATTCAGAATTATTTAAAACTCAAATCTTTAATGAGTTCTTTTAAAATTTTTTTTTTTTTTTGAGATTTGTTTATCAGGAGAACTCAGACCTTTTGGTTTCATGGATTAGTAAGCTATAAGAAAATTGAGGGGCAAGGGTAGAGGCACAATCAACTAGTGGTTATCTGTATTTCACTAATTAAGACACAAGGAAAAAAACCTCAAAATCCACTAACTACTTATTAAGTAAAAGACAGTCTAACATCAAAGTAGGAAGGATAAGCTTGGAAGAATAAAAATACTCTAAAATTTTATAAGGAACTCCATTAACCTAATTCATTATAAGCCTTACCCTTAAACTTTTTCATTTGTACATTGCTGTAATAAGTAGTTATTTGCATATGGCTGTTTCTCTGAATAGGCTGTAAATTAAAATTTTTGATTCAAAATTTTTATACCTATCTTACCTAATAAACTCCATAATCTTGAGTAGAAGCAAATTAATAAAAATAGTTGACAAACGTTTATCCTTTGGGATTCATATTTATTGTTTGGATTTGTGAAATAGAGTAGTTAGAGCATTCACCTTTTAGTCTGGCTTCACTTACAGAATTTAAACCTGTTCTCCATTTTGCTGTTTCCCTGCTGTAGGCCTTTATGGAGTAAATTGAACAAAAGGTAGTCAGATTAGATACTGCTTTCTTTGGAGTATAGCAGCATTGGGACTCTAAATAATGGATGCATCTACTTGTTTTCAAAACCACCTTTGATGAGATAGACAAATAACTGACTTTTACTTTTCCCTAGGGGTCTGATATAGAGATGGTGACTTCTGAACATGGGACAGCCAGTGACAGCTCTGAGCTCATCCCAGAGTATTCATCTTTAGAGCAAGAGGAGCTACAAGTATTGCAGTTAGAACAAGGCGGTAAGATGTTTAATAAGTCTGATATATTCATTTTTAAAAATTGGACGTGTTTGGGACATTATGAATCTTGTCTTCTTTCTAGGTGGACAGCTAATTGATTAGGCCATTGAAGGACTAATGTGTTAGTATGGACTAGGTGGGCAGCCCTGCAGAGTCTGGTGGTACCAACCTTCCCAGGGCCTTGTTTATTTGCAGCTGTAGTATGTGTTTGAACCTCCAGATAACATTTGATATTGTGCATGTAATATTGAGTCTGTCAGTGACTTATTATTATCAATCTTGATTAAGACTAATGATGTACAAAATTATTAAATTATCACCAGACTTTTCCAGTTATTGTCACACTTCAAAGTATTTTGGTTAGAAGAGGTAAATGGCATTTAACAACTGTGTCATATTTACATTGTGTATAATCCCACTTATTATGGGATTTGATATTTACATTAATTATATGAAGAAATGTGCCCAAATAATGAATGTATACTCTAATCTTTGTATTTAAATTACTTTTAAAATTCTTTTAAAAATTACTAAAAATGTAAACAGATCATTCCCCCGTCCCCCCCCCCGCCCCCGAATCAAATGGAGATATCCAGGCTAGAAATACAATAGATTACTAATCTCTTTTGAACAGTGATTATTAACTTTCATGGGTCAGAGATCTCTTTGAAAAACTGAAAGCTAGGGACAATCCCTCCCAAAAAATGCTTATCCTCATGTATCTAAAAAAATTTCCATACTTCCTTAGGAGTTCTTGGACACAAGTCCACCTTTGTTGCGGAGTCTTACCTTCAAATTAATATTCTGTTAGAAACTATAACATACAAAAGCAGTGGGTGTTTTTTCCCTTTTTTTGGTATGGATTAAATTATAAGTGAAATACATGTTAGAGAAAAAATGATGAGAAAAATAAATTTAAACTACCCAATTATGTCTGGACATAATTGCTGTAAACATTTGGTATGGAAGGGCAGAAGTAGGTTTACAGTTTTGAGTTTATTCTTTAAAACACAGAGTTTATTCTTGTATTATCATTTATAATTGTACTAGAGGCCCGATGCACGAAATTCATGCAAGGGGCTTGGCTCTTGCAGCCCCTCACAGCCTCAGCTGGCCCTTGCAGCCCCAGCTTTGTGCAGAAGGTTGTCCGGACGGTCATCCAGAAGGTTGTTCGGATGGTCGTTTGCTGTTCAGTCTAATTAGCATATTAGCTCTTTATTACATAGGATTATTTCCCCTACTAGTGGCTCGGTGTATTGATTCGTGCACATTGAAAGGAAATTAATTAGAAGAAACCTCTCTGGTTCCAGGGTGTTTAGTATAATAATAAATTATTACACTGGGCCTTTAGTATAATAATAAATGTAAATTTATACATAGCAAAAAACATACAGGGTAGGGGCAAAAGTAGGTTTATAATTGCTCAAAAGTAGGTTTATAATTGTAAATTTTATAATTTATAAAATGCTAAGTAACTGTCCGACCATCCAATTATCCCACCTGAGAACTGCCGCTGCCAAGTCACAGCAACTCTGCAGCTCCTGCATTGAGCATCTGCCCCCTGGTGATCAGTGTGTGTTATATGTACCAGCTGGTGGGAACACCCCCCATGGGGTTCCCGAGTGCAAGAGGTCACTGCAAAGTTGCTGTCGCTTGGCAGCTCCTGCATTGAGCATCTGCCTCCTAGTGTGGTCAGTGCTCATCATACCTACCAGCCAGTCGGCCAGTCACTTAGCCTTTTATATATATAGGTTATATATATATATTTTAATACTTTCAAGTTTTCTAATATGAACTCATACATTTTTCCAAGTCTTTTTAAAAATGTTTTTAATTGATTTTTCCGAGAGAGCGAGAGGGGGAGAAAGAGAGAAACATCATCATGAGAGAGAAACAATCCTTTGGTTGCCTCTAATACAGCAACCTGACCATGGACTTCAACCAGCAACTGGGGCATGTGCCCTGATTGGGAATCAAACAGATGACCTTTCCGGTGCAGGGATGACGCTCAACTAACTGAGCCACTCTGGCCAGGGCTCAAGTTAGTGTTTTTTTACAATCTGTTTTTTTATTATATTTTATAATTCAGAGCCATAGTTTCGATTCTTATGTTGTCAGACATTAATAGTCATTAGAGTAGTGATACCTTTTGCTTGAATAAACTTTTAACAATGCAGGATATGCTCCATCAGATATCTGAGAATTGGTTTCCAATATTAACAGATTTTTATAAACACTTGCTTTAAAGTAAGTACTATGGTATTGTCAAGTACAGACTGTTTACTTAGAGATTTTATTGCTTTAGTTGCTCTTTACTGAATTCAGTTCAGTGTCTAAAATTATCCCCCTGACAATTTCAAATATTGAAATAATTATATTTGAAATACAGATCTTTTTAGCAATGTAAGAATGACTTTTGTCATTTGATGAAATCCACTTTAAGAAATTGGGAATGCATTTTTTTTGTACCCAAATCATTATATATGAAGACTGCCAGAGTGATGAAATGTAATTGAGTTGATTTTCGCCTTATATCAGAGAGCAGCCAAACTGTCACAATGGTAGTGGAAGAGACTTCTTATCCGGCTTTGGAAGAAACGAAGTTAGCACTTGTGGTAAGCTTGTGTTCTACTCTGTGGAAATATGGTAAACATAGAGAATGCTAGTTAAAGCTTCCTTTTCTAGTTGTGCATTCTGTTCCTATTTGAATTAAAAATAAATTTCATTGAAGATTTTGAGATTCCCCAGATTGATCAATTAAGGTTAAAGTTGTTAGCTTTTATATAAACTCCTGATTCAGATGTGTTTTAATTTAGAAAAGTAATTTATTGGAAATGTGTTAACGACTTATTCATTTAATTACTAATATAGTTTTCTTTCAAAAAAGGTTGGATTTTGTTTTTTTTTTTGTAGATAATTTTTATAAGAGTTTGAGCCAAACCCCTGACATACAAGATATCAAATACTCCCCAGAATAAGTTTTGCATTTTCTTTTACACATTTGATATTAAGGAAGATTATGTGGGGGACAGAAAAAGTAAGGTAATAGAAAAGAAAAGAAAGAGTAAGGTAATGATTGGATTACATGATAGTTAACAAGATTATGTACTATCTTGGGTAGTTACAATTATTTCATAGGTGCGTTTTCCTAGACGTGTAGATATAATGGATAAGGCTTGTTTATATGCCTGGGGCGTGACTACCTACCATAACTTGCCCAGTAAGGAATTTATGATCAGTTCATCCTATGAGGTTATTTTCTGTAGAACCCCTTTTTTTCACCCACACTTTCCCCTTTTGATCATAAATCTGAAGGTCCGAATAGTGTGGTCTCTCAGTTCTAGGAAGGCTCATTCCTAGGAAGTCTTAGTATGGATGTTCTCTTGACTGTTGGTGATGGGGAAACACTGTAACCAGAGGGTCTGAGTTTCAGCTGCATTTTCCCAAACCAGGAAAGGCAAGTAAATGGAAGGCAGTCAGTCAGGTTTTATGGTTTTCATTTAAAAAAAAACACACACACTTTGGATCATTTTTATCCTGAGAACTATAGTGATTCAAGTCCTGCCTTCTGTTTCTCATCTTTCTGTATTTGGCATTTAGTATAACACTTACATAAGCCATAAAAAAAATATTAACAGTTATACATGTTCAGCCATCATAAACAGTTGAACTATGTAGAAAAGCCCAAAGAACAAGTACAGGTATTATTATGACTAATACCATTAGTAGACAGGAAAAGACAGACAAAATGGGTTCAGAGTTCACATAGGTTTACAGGCCTTGTCGATGTATTGGTGTATAATTTGTCTAATTAGATTACATTCTTGAATTATATTGAGAAATTAAGCTAAAATCAAGGTCAGTTTTTAATTTGAGGACAAACTAAATCTTATCCTTTAGCATTTACCTGACTTCTAGATAAAACTAGATAGCTAAGTGACCTTTACATGGCATAACTGTTCAAGGTTATTACATATTATACATAACCAGGAAAATTTCATCAGTCTTTTAATGGGCTCCCTGACTACAGGGTTACACGTAAATAAACCCATGGAACCAGTAAGAAATCCTCTCCTTCCTGTGTTCATTTGGGTTGTAAAGGTGGGCGGCTTAGCTTTTGCAGCCTACAAGGAGTAGTCAGTAGTTAGAGTCCCTAGGAGTTTGAAGGGGTTTTCATACTAAAAGATGAACCTACTATTGAGTAGTCCTTTCTTATTAGATAGGATTCATATCTTTTATTTCAAGCCCAAATTACCATACTACTTAAGTAACATTTTACACTTTGAATTGTGTAGAAAATATAAGGCCCTTAAATAATTGTTGAATTTACTATCTCTCAAATTATGATTCCTCAGAGAGAGGAAGAAAAATCACTTGAAGACAATGTTTCTTTTGGAACTGTCAGCGATGATTCTGATATTGTGACCCTTGAGCCACCTAAGTTAGAAGAAATTGGAAGTCAAGAAGAAGCCATAAGTGTTAAAGAAGCACAGAGTCCAGAAGACTTTAACATGGGCTCTTCCTCTAGCAGCCAATACACATTCTGTCCACCGGAAACTGGTAAGAACTATACAAAGAATACACTGGTAACAGACTTACAGACTCCCGTGACCATATTGTATATAATGACTTAATTTATAATCCTAAAACTCAAGTTTTGAAATAATTGAATTAAACTCAGGAAACATTTTTATAAAAATTTACTGTTATATTTAATTTTTTTCCCTAGACTCTAGGGCCTAGAGCACAGTCTTTTGCTATAACAATAAATGCCATCTCTTATTAAGTAAAAGACCAAAAAAAGCTTCAAGGAGAAGGAGTTTTGTTAATGTCTCAAATGCTCCCTTTGACATGCTTTAGATCTTAGAGATTAGAGATTGAGGCATTATGCCTAAAAGCAGGAGAATGTTAAGATTTCTGCCTATAATGATAAAAATATTTATATTGTAAAAATAGTGAAACTTCTTTCTCTTCAGTTATTAGTCATTTAACAAACAGCTATTGAGTGCTACTATGTGCATAACAGGGCTCAAGTAGCTGGCAGTACAGCAGCATCCCAAAACCCTGACCTTTGGATCATTCATTTTAGATTGAGTTATGAAAATGTGCCATTGAAAGTCATGTTGTTAATGCAGTTGATGTCTGTTGTTCAGACAGAATCATTTGGAGGTTAAAATGTAAGTTACTGAACTAATTCCCTTCTAGAATTTTTTGGCTCAATTTTAGGGACATATAACATCTTTCAATGTGGTATAACTATTTAGACACAAGTTACTAAAAAATATAAGAAACAAACCTGTACTTAACCAACAGTTATTAACCCACAATTATAACTTAAGAGTGAATTATGTGAGGACACCTTGGAATACTGCCAATGGTTCCAGTAATTCCTTAATTTGATGCAGAAACAGGAACATGTATTATCTATTTTAGATCATTTCTTTAGATTTTACCATTCTTTAATATTTACATTTGCCAAAATCAGACAATGGAATTTTTATTCAGTTTAAGTTAATGTCTGCAAGTAGAGATTTTTTTATTTTTTTACATTTTATTGATTTTTTTACAGAGAGGAAGAGAGAGGAATAGAGAGTTATATACATCGATGAGAGAGAATCATTGATCAGCTGTCTCTTGCACAGCCCCTACTGGGGATGTGCCCGCAATCAAGGTATTATATACATGTCATTGACCGGAATCGAACCTGGGACCTTTCAGTCCGCAGGCCGACTCTCTATCCACTGAGCCAAACCGGTTTGGCTGCAAGTAGAGATATTTTAGTTAACTCATTTAATGAGTTACTTTCAACTAGTGTTTCATTAGTTTGACTATAAACAAGAGCTTGAAAACACTTTATTCAAAACGTTTAAATACTTATTAGGTGTTCTTAGTGATCAGAGATAAACTTCGGTGTTGGCTTGAATAGAGCAAACATAATTGATTTTAGAATCCATTTTGGTCATCAAATTTCATTTTATTTATTAAAATATAGGTTCAAACTATATAGTATAATAGTATTCAATTACTTTTTTTTTTTTTAAAGGCTTTGCTGGTTTAATTTGAGGATATTAGTAGGCCAGCAAAGGCAGTTGAGTGAAGTAGGAGTAGTGGAAAGGGTCCAAGCAGACATTTAAGGAATTGATGCTATCCATGCTGTTATTTTTTTTCAGATACTTGGGCACTTCAGAACACATTATTCTAGTTTTAATCTACTTTCTGAATTTGGACTTTGGAATTTTATAGATTGAGTTAAGAGGTATATTTTATTAGGTATTTCTATCAATTGTTATCCCTCCCAAAGGAATTACTTTAATAAAGAACATGTTAAAAATAATAAAAAGTTACATTGGACTGTGTTGAAAATACTACATATACTAATATATATCAGTTGCCCAGAGTTTTTTTGTTCTCTTTCCCTTTTCCCATATTTTTCTCAGTTTAATTTCCTCCTGCCCATTGCTTGTTTTTTTCCTTTCTTCATCTGTGTTGGATTTCAACTTCAGTTTTTTTCTTCTTCTAAATTAAATTCTTGTGACAGTTATCTTTTGTTGATGTAAGAACACTCCCGTCTTCATATGAGAGCAAAGTTGGTAGTTGTAGAAAAGTTAGTATTGTATAAGTTTTTAAAAAAGGCATAATTGTTAGATTTTGATGGAGCACAAATAATAATGTTAAGTGATAATTTAAGTGAGTATTTTCAGTTCTCTTTTTCCTGTTATTCTTTATAATAAAGCTTCATACATCTTTTTTCCTGTTTATTCACAAAAGAAAGGTGGTGGGAGAAGCTGTGGAAGATTCCTGAATGCATAAGGGGATGGGCTGATCAGCTGAAACACCATGTTCCTAGCCAACTCGCTTTCCAAGGTGGTGTGACTAAATCTGTCAGCTTTTCTAGAGCTGAGTGTGCCTAGTCACATTTACTATTTATGTAGTGCTTTAAAGATATCTATTGTCAGCCATGATACTCTAAGTAGGTGATCAAATTTATTTTGTGATAAAGCTGGCTAAGCTTACTGCATGCCTTTGCATTGCTTGCATCTTGGACTGTGGGCCAAATTAATCTTTAAAAGACTTAAAAAGTAAAAATATGTCAGCTGTCATATGTATGGGTTAAAAAGATGGAAGCATTAGATAAGGATGTAAATTTATTAATACCGGTTAGGCTGGTTTACTTGGAATATATAATAAAGTCAATATGTTAATGTAGAATTAAAAGTTTATTAAAGGAATTTTGACTAAACATTTGTTTTTACATTGATTCATCTTAATACTGTCAGAAAGTCTGACTTAAAATACTCCATCCATGATCATGAATGCCTTTGTATTATGTAATGCTTTATTTAAGTCTTCCTTTCTTTTCTTTTTCTTTTTTTTTTTTTTTTTTTTTGGTCCAAGAAATGTAACCTCACACCTGAGGCCGCGGCATCTTGGAAAAACTAGTGGTCAAGAATAACCAGATAAACATGGGCATAAGGGTCATGAACATGATCTCTCAGTAGCTTCTGTATCACTAAATATTAGGAATATTCATTCAGTAGTGCCTTCTTTCTTCGTGTATTTCTTTCTTCTTTCTTCGTGTTGTAAATGTGAAAGTTAACCCTCCATGATCCTTCTTTAAAAAGTATTGCCTAACTTAAGTCACCAGCTTTCCTGTAGCATGAATAACCTGCCTTCTGAAGAACTGTTTTGCTTTTTTAAAGCATGAATGTTTGTTGTTTTGGAGCTCTGTGTATCAAGTTCAAGCTCACATCTTATCCTTACTTTTAATGCTCTTTTTCTTTCTAACTGGCTAGGGGGAATTATTTCTTAAGTCATGTAATTTTCTGTCAACATATAATTTTTTTGATAATATGAAACCATGTTAATAAATTATACATGTGAAAAAACTGAAGATAATTTTTGGTATATACTAGTATGTTTCCAGGACTTGAGATTTCTTGTGAATTTTATGGTTTACTATTTTTTTCATAAAGGAGCTGCACCAGATTATTCCTTAATTTCGGAGATAGCTGTTGTGTCACTTCCTCATGCTGACATATTTACTAGAGGGTGAAATTAATGGCCTTCTAGTAAGAGTGGCAGTTGAAGGGAAGGGCTCATCTGACTTCTGGAAGTCTGTGTTTAACTAGAGTGCTCTGAACCTTGATTATGGACTCAAAATGGAAGTGAAACTAGAAAAACACCCAAGGAACTGCTTGAATATGTCCCTGTGTTCCTTAAATTGAAATTGAAGAGATACAGGGTTTTTATTTTATTTTATTCTAGAAATAGTATTTGTTTATAGCTCTACTATCAAATTTAATAGACTATGAGAATGATTGCTCTGATGGTATAAACTATAAGAGAGGTTTAACAATAAAACAGCTAGACCTTCAAAGGCACAGAATATGATTAACAGATTCTTGTATGTCACAGTTGAAATATTTTATGTTTTGGGATTATGTTGATAAACTTGAAAACATGAGTTCATGTTGTGTTGTTTTTGGCTGTCCTGTGTAAAAATAAAGCATGTAGGGGTGGCTTTGATTATTGTATTAAAATCATATATACTAGGGAACCTTTTATAAAATTTTCAATATTTATCTACTTTTTTTAATAGTATTTTCATCTCAGCCGAGTGATGACAAATCAAGTAGTGATGAAACCAGCCATGAGCCCAGTCCAGCCTTTAGACGCCGCCGTGCGAGGAAGAAAACTATTTCTAGTTCAGAATCTGAAGAACGACTGCTCGCTGACCAAGAAACTGACCCTTCTAAGGAGCTGGGTAAACGCCATTTCAGTAGTGGCCTCAATAAGTGTGTTATACTTGCTCTGGTGATTGCAATCAGCATGGGATTTGGACATTTCTATGGTAAGTAATTGAAAATTTGTTAAACATAAACTGATGGCTTAAGGTAGAGGAACTTATTAAGAGTGAGCAATTTTAACTCTGTTTTAGTGTCAATTAAATATATGACCTTGGAAAGCTCATATATTTAATGACAAAGCTATTTTCACTTAAAGGAAGCAGTATTTATTTAAGAAATGTAAGGATTATTGGCATGTATTTTTTTTTTTAATATATTTTATTGATTTTTTTACAGAGAGGAAGGGAGAGAGATAGAGAGCTAGAAACGTCAATGAGAGAGAAACATCGACCAGCTGCCTCTTGCACACCCCCTACTGGGGACGTGCCCGCAACCAATGTACATGTCCTTGACCGGAATCGAACCTAGGACCTTTCAGTCCGCAGACTGACACTCTACCACTGAGCCAAACCGGTTTCGGCGGCATTTATTTTTTTAATAAGGAAAATATTAGAAGATTAAAAATCTGAAATGCTTACAATGAGGTAGTTTATTTTAGAACCACAATTAAAGTAGTTTGAACTCTGACTTTATTAGGAGGAGTATCTAAATCCCAGCTGAAATAGTTACAATTGAAATGTCACAAGAATTGGTGCTCATTATTTCTGCCTTCAGGTTTTTTTTTGTGTTTTTTTTTCCTTCAGGTTTCACTCAGGCTTTATATATTGTTCTTTTTAAATGTTATTTTCTTTATTGTTTAAGGTATTACGTATGTGTCCTTATCCTCCCGTTGCCCTTTACCCCCTCCCTCTACTCATGTCCTCACCCCCCCCCCCCCCCCGCCGGTGTCTGTGCCCATTGGTTAGGATTATATGCATGCATACAAGTTCTTTGGTTGATCTCTTCTCCCTTTCCCCCACCTTCCCTTACCTTGTTAACCTGTTAACTGGGGAATTCCCTTTTTAATTACACAACATATAATGGGCGCGTACTCTTTCACTAGGACGTGTCAGTACGTCACACCTGGAGGATGTAATCTCATATTATTATTATTTTTTATTTATACTTAAAATAAATGAAAAGACTATGAAATATATATTTTTTTGTTTATATATAAAGTAGAAAGGAAAATACAAAATTACAAACAAATGGAAAAGAATACCAACAAAAAAAATGGAAACTCAAAAAATTATAAATTTTAAATTATAAAGATTACAAAAAATATATATTTATTTCGATGCACAATAAAAATATTAAGAAGTTAACAATTACAGAACAATAAACAAAAGCATACAAATAAAATAGAAATATTGAGTTTAAAAACTTAAAATATAGATGTAAAAATTCAAAACTCGACTTCCCTGTGATATATTTTAAAACAATTGTTGATAGATAGTGCTCCCTTACAATCCGGACACCAGTATGTAGATTCTTTCCTAACACCTTTTTTGTAGCAAACTCGGCATTTCCTGGATTTAGTTTTTCCTATATCGCTTTTCATTTGTTCTGGAAAATGCCTTTCAACTAAGCGTGATGGTTTAGATGTAGAGCTGCTTGTTGATGTCTTTGGGTGGGTTTTCACGATGTTGTTATCTACCAATTTCTCTACACACTCTATCAAAAAGTGTAATCGATCCAAATGACCTTTATCTTTTTTGTATATAATATAGGCATTGAAGCAGCACATATCAATTAATCGTAGAAAAATTTTTTTAATAAAATTTTTTTACCCTATTATGGACAGCCGTGTAGGCCACCATAACTCCATCTCCCAAATCTACGCCGTCCATATTCTTGTTACAATCCAGGACAACATTCGGTTTTTCTTGCCTTCTTCCTCTTTTCAATCATTGTCTTTTCGTCATTATGAATAGAACTGAGCATCAATACGTCTTTTTTATCTTTCCATTTTAAAACCATAAGTTTGTCTTGGAATCTTACTATATGTTCATTTTTCTGTAATTTTTTTGTTTTTATTTCACTGGGAATTCCGACTCTGTTTATCCTCATTGTTCCAACAATGTCGGTATTGTTTTGACACAAGAGTTCAGCCAAATGAATTGACCTATAGAAATTATCTAAGTAAATCCTATACCCTTTATTCAGTAAGTCATGTGTTAACTCCAAAACAGTTCTTGTTGAACACATCCACCACTCTCACTAGCGAAATTATACTGATTCCCTCCGTGTCTTAAATTCATGTGGAGACATGTATGGATGACTAATACCTTTGTTGTTTGGAAATATACGTCCTGCCCCTCTCAGGGTGCAACATATATTTCAAGGACGTATTCATATGTCCTACCCGTACCCGATATTGTTTACGTTTGACGTATTTATATACATCCCGCTCGGTTAACAGGTTAACATTTGTTGTTTTGTAGTTTAGCATTATACTCTGCTCACTGTTAATCTTGATAGTGTTTGTGTACATTGATTATCTTAATGAAAAGCCTGTGGAAGTCTCTTGGGTAAAAAGAGGAAGTACTTCCATGTGGTGTTATTTTTCATTTGGGAACCCAATCATTAAATCTTTTTTCCCCTCAATATTTTAATATGCAATTTATTGATTTCAGAGGGAGGAAGGAAGAGGAAGAGATAGAAACATCAGTGATGAGAGAGAATCACTGATCAGCTGCCTCCTGCATGCCCCCTACTGGTGATCTAGCCCACAACCCAGGCATGTGCCCTACCTGGAATCCAGTCATGACCTATTGGTTCATGCCACCACTGAGTAACATTGGTCAGGCCAAACATGAAATCTTATTTAAGGTACTAGAGGCCCAGTGCATGAATTCATGCATAGGTGGGGTCTGGCTAGCCCGGCCCCAATTGGAGTAGTTTAGGTGGGGCCTGTTGGGAGGAGGAGAAGGCGGGAAGTTGGCTGGCTGGTCTGCCCTGATTGGGGCCCTATCAGGGCTGGGGTGGCTGGAGGGAGTGATTGACCATGGGCCCCAACCCCCAATTGGGGTGGTGGGGGCCCATCTGGGGCAGGGTCAGCCAGCCAACTGCCTGTGGTCCCTCCCCACCGGCTGGCCCTGCCCCTGATCAGAGTTGAGGGGCTGATCTGGGATGGGGCTGGGCAGGGGGAGGGGCTGCAGGAGGTTGGCTGGCTAGCCCTGCCCCGATCGTGCTGGTTTGCTGGTCAATGTGGGCATCATAGCGACAGGTCATTTCTGTCATTAACAGCATGGTCAGTGGCTTTATATATATATAGAAATACGTATTTGCACAAAGTTGAGAGTAAGAACTAAACAGTCACACACTGCTATATTAGAATCAAAACAAATGTCTTAGATCTTGTCAACAAATTTCAGTTTGCCTTCTATTAACTACTTTTAGGATTGTTTTTACTACATAATCCACACTTTAACTATCTGAAGTATTTCTATTTTGTTAGTCCCTTCTACCAATATGTTCCTTATATAAAGTTTGAAGAAATATTCCATGTTGATTTGTGGGAAAAATACAACGTAGTTAGGTAACTTACTGAAGATAGACAATACTTAATTTTAAGTCAGAGTCAGTAAAATACGTTTCTTTCTGTATTTAACTTTATATAATAAAAATAAATACACTCCTGCTTGAATTTATTACTGAAATACTATAATTAGTATCCTTTGAAATTTGTTGTGATGGGATTTGACTTTTTTATTATCTAACTGGAGCAAATGTGTGAATATATTTTATTTTTTGAGCATGATTTTTTCTCCCACAGGTAAACCTGGAGGTAACAAAGGAGGAGGTCTTATCTTAATCTTTTTTCCTACTAAAAATAAAATTAGTAATTTAACATTAATACAGATTCCATTAAAACCTCACCAATTGCATGAACTTTTAAGTATTTTGTAGAAAGACTAATTTAGAGAGGAGTGCTTTCAAAATTGAGAAATTATTGCCATTATTTAGGATTTTGGTCATTTGTAAAAATTATTTTGATAATTATATTTACTAAAACATTTTCCTGTACTTCTTGAAATTAACTTTTCAGAATATGAAAAGACTGAGTAACATAATATGAAGATTTATATAGTAATAAGACTGGCTCAATGAACATACAAAAACTTACTTGAATAATTAGTTTTTAAGATCACTAAAGTACATCACATTTTTAAAAAATTCTGTCACTGATCTCAACACTTTGAGCTCTTTGGGGTTGACTTCAGAGCCAGTTTGAATTTCTCATGCACCTTGAAATCAGTTGTTGTACACTGTAATCATTTTCTTTATAATCATTTTTTAAAATATTTTTATTGATATTCCAGAGAGGAAGATAGAGAGATAAAAACAATAATGAAAGAGAATTATTAATCGGCTGCCTCCTGCATAACCCCCTACTGGGGATTGAGCACATAATCTAGTCATGTGTCATGCCTGGAAGGAACCATGACCTCCTGGTTCATAAATTGACACTCAAGCACTGAGCCACACCAGCTGGGTTTCTTTATAATCATTTAACAAAAACATACTACTAAGAGCCACATGTACCAACTTTGCCTCTATATAATTTTGGAGTTTCAGACCTATCATGGAAGGAAGAGAAAATTAGTTTGAGGATAGTTATGTAATGTACTTACAGGTATTTGTGACTGCTTAAGGTTCTGAAACTACTTACAGAACTTTAAAGAAAAATCTTCATGTATGATGCACCTATCTTCCTTACTTTTCTTTGTTCACAAACTATCCATATTCTAAATTGTTAGTGAAGGTCAGTTGATTCAGTTTTCTCATGAAGTTGCTTTAAGAATTGGTAGGCTGCCCAGTGCTTGGACAGCAGCGAAACAGAATATAAGCAGGTGCCACATTATGTAGAACAGATGTAATTTATAGCTCAAAGGCTACACTTAACTGAGTCATCCTAGAGATGGTAGGGTTTTAGGTGTGTTTTGTCTTATTATGCTTATGGAGGTGGAAGGAAAGTGGAACATTCCTTCAATGGAGAGTCTGATAACTTGAAAGTAAACTTGCCAGGTTTGTGAGCAGTGAGAAGACTGCCTGGGCTAGAGCAGAATTGATATTTAGAAATAATGGAGTGTATGGTTGGACTTTGTGGGATGCTGTTATATTGTAAAATGTCTTGGAATTTGGTAGGAGAGTTTGATTTATAGAGTGACCTGATGGCAATAATTTTAGAGAAAAAGAAAAATGGTATGAGGAAAATTAGAACAGTCATTCGGGAAGTTTTGTAATTTAGATATCCAGTGACCAGGGCCTTAATTGTAATGATAGTGCATCTGGAGAAAAGGTTGGTGAAGTAAGGGAGATTGAACTAATAATGGAAGAGAGAACTTTGAGCTGGGGTAATGGAGATATTGGTGGTTTGTTTTTTAAGTTCCAATAAGTATGCTAGCTGCTTTACTTTTGGAGGTGGGGGTGTTAATGGGGAATAGTTTTATTAGATGGTAAATAAATAGATGGCGAGCCACTTCGGTTTGTTTTTACCCAACTTTAGAATGGTTTAGGGCAGCAGTTAAAGTTTTACTTCATTTTTATGAAGTTGTCCCCAAAATTGTGCCCAACAGGCAGCTGATATGTTGGCTGATATGTCTGTGGGATTGGTAGAGAAGTCTTAACAGCAGTGACAGCAAAAACAGACAGTGGGTTAATAAAGTTAAGATAAATAGGCTTGTACCAGAAGTCCAAAGATTATACTGTGAGCAGTAACACTTCATAGTTAGGCAGCTGAAGATGTGTATTTATGGTGGGGAGGACCAAAACTTCAGAGAGTGGCTGCTACCTCACTTTGGCGGGGGGGGGGGGGGGGAACCTAATAAGTTGAAAAAGGCCACATAAAGACAGTCATCAAACATATGCTATGTAATAGTACTGTCAAATCAGATATCAATACACAGTTTTAGGTTATTTTCCAGTGATCAAGGGAATTCATCCTATTAGAAGTTTGAAAAGAAAGATTTTTCAGTCACTCTGGGAATTACAGATGTATTTATTTCAACAATTTTAAAAATCAGATTCTTTTGAGTAATACTTAAACAAATTTGCCATGCTTTTATAAATGAGAAAGTTTAAAGGATGTGAATCCTAACAGAGTATCAGCTGTTAATTGGTAACAGTTGTCTAATTTGGCAAAAGTTTTTAGCTTTTTTCAAGATGTATTGAAGAAACTAAAATTAATTTTTTTAGCAGTAGGAGAAGAAATATTAATACTAAACTCCTCATTACACCCTTACATTACAAAACTCTGTGATATCTTTACATAATGCTATGACACTCAGTAGACGTAATATTGTCAAACGCGTTTTGCCTTATTTTTCATTTCCTGGTGTGTTTTTTTCCTCATGCATGAAGCATGTGAAAAGGCATGCCTTAGCAAATAAACATTTTATATTTTAAGGTAAAACTAGATAGCATCCTAGTTGGTTTAAGATCCCTTTATGACTGCTGGGATAGGGACGGTGGTACTTCAGTACAGACCTAACCAATGCAGTTTTAAAAGATTTGGGCTTTGAGAATGGTGGATAATCAAAGCCAATTCTTTTCCTTTTCACCTTTTGGGTTTGTGCTGTATTATTTAGGTAGAATATAGAAATTTTTGTTTTTCCTTATAACTTGTGAATAGACTTCATGCTTTCTTTCTCTTTATGGGGGATGCAATAATTGATGTATTTCAGAAATCCCTCAAAACCAACAGGCCTGAGTGCTCACTTTGGCAGCATAAATACTAAAATTGGGACAATATAGAGATTATCATGGCCCTGTGCAAGGATGACACTCAAATTCGTGAAGCATTCCATATTTTGTGCAGTGCCCCAGTGGGAATCTTCACACTCTTTCATTAGCTTGGAAGAAAAATGTGACACTCAGTAGCAAAATTGTGACTTTTCATTATAAAAAAAATCCCCAAAACCAGACCTGAGTGCCACTATAGAGTAAGATAAAAACATTAAATAAGTTGTTTTCTTTGTTAGGATAATGTGGGCTGCTTGTTTTAATCAAAAGGATTGTGAACCACTTAAATGTACCTGGTATAATAAAACAAAAACAAAAACATTAACATATTTGGCTTGATCTGTTATATTAACATTCATCTACCACCATTCGATGAATGACAGCATGAGATTTTACTTATTCATTCTTTGTTTATTATATAATGAGAATGTTTATAGAACTGAAATGCTGTTATTTTGAAGGAAATAATCCTATATTAGTAAACATATGCAGATTAAATGTTTTATTATGTTTCACAATATTGGCAATCATGACATGTTATAAATCTCTAATAAAATGTTCATTGTTAGGCACATTTCAGATTCAGAAACGTCAACAGTTAGTCAGAAAGATACATGAAGATGAATTGATTGATATGAAGGACTATCTTCCCCAATGTGACCAGAAACAAGTCTCTGTTACAGATTATAAGGTGCGTACTACTGTTCCTTTATAATAAAAGGGTGATATGCAAATAGACCGAACAGCAGACTGACCAGAATGCCCGCGGCCCCTCGATTTGGCCAGCCCCGACTCTCAGCAGGCACCCCCAGCGCTGCCTTGATCAGTCCCTTGCCCCAAACAGCCCAACCCCAATAGCCCCCATTTGGAGCAGGCCAGCTGGACCCCACCAGTGCATGAATTTGTGCACCAGGCCTCTAGTACATTTTAGAAAAATTGTTAGCCCATAATTAATATGCTATTCAGATATAGATATAGTATAGATTGGAAAATCAGTAATATTAGTAATTGTCGATTGAATACTTTTTATGTCCTTGTCACTTTTGTGAGTACCTCACATACAGTATTTCTCATCACTACCCTGCGAATTAAGCAAGTTTTAGCTTCATTTCAAAGACTGGAAAGAGATTAAAAAAAGCTAAGTAATTTTCCCAAGGCTAGCAACCGGCAGAGCTTAATTTAATTATTGATATGACTTCAAAGATATTAGTCCTAATCACTTATAATTAACCTATTTTAAATTGATGTTATATATAAAACATTATTAACTTTATTTTTACAGAGCTGAGCAGAACATTTTCATTTAATGAGAAAGAGGAGTATTTGTATCTTAAGCCCTTCCCTTGATCAAGGAAAATAATCAGCCAGTTTTTTCCCTGTAAGATTTCTTGTTTGTTCTGATGGGAGAGATAGCATGTTATATTTTCCTAAAACTTACCTAACTCCAGCCGGATTGTGCTGTTCATTTTGTCCAGTTACCTAACACATTTGTGGGTTTATGAGGACCAGCAGAATAATGGGTCTCCTGTTTAGTTCTTCCCTGGGAAGGGTGTAGGGATTACAGATAAAATCAGGTTAGGAAAATAAACTTCCATTTTTTTTCAATTTCCCCAAATTTCCTTTATACTTAATTTATGTAGGTATCCCATAAAAGGTTCTGGTTATATTTCTTTGGAAGACAGAATCCCACCTGACATCTGAATTATATATTTCAGGGAAGGACTACTAAAGTTAATTGTAAATAGTGTAGTTTTCCCTACCTTGGTCAGAGGATATTTTCAAGAGGAGCCATTTTCTTCATTATCATGGTTTTTGGTTCCCTAGGCCACTGGCTTTAGGAGACCTGCCCTGCATAAATCTTTACCGAGCTGCTGCTTGTAGAGCTTTTGTCTCCAGCTGTTAAATGTGGTTTGAATTTTTGAAGATCTTCATGGAGGACTTGCTGAGGATCTGCTTACCAAGCACTTAATTCAAGAATATACAGTTTATTGGATAAGGAATGTTGTGCCCTCTAGTCCTCCTGTGGCTGCCTATGCCTGTGCATTTAAAGATATGACTAATGAAACTTTAAATTTTAATTTGTTCTCTGAAGATTCATAAGCCATTACAGTGAAATATCCATTTCAGGTAGTTATTTTTCAAGTGGAAAATACTGTCATTCTCATAAATATCAGAGAGGAAGGAAGAAGAGGGGGAGAGGGATAGAAACATCAGTGATGAGAGAGAACCACTGATTGGCTGCCTCCTGCATGCCCCACACTGGGGATCCAGCCCACAACTGGGAATCGAACCATGGCCTTCTGGTTCCCAGGTTGACACTGAAGCACTGACCTACGCTGGCCGGGTGAATATGAATTTTTTTAAATCAAGCGTGCTGACCTTGGAATTATATAATCTGATTAGTTTTTTCAGATTATTTGAATTTGGGAGAATTAGTTATATAAACGTTACCAAGATTCATTCTGTACTTTTAAGGGCAAGAGAAATGATATAATTTATCAGAACCTAGAGATGTTAATTTGCATAGGACTAGGGTGTTTCAAATAGGATAAAGATTATTGAATTATTTTTCCTTCTGAGAGTGCAGTATATATATAAAGAAAATTTTTTGAAGCGTGAAGTAATCTCTCGCTTTAACTTTTTTATGAAAAATAATCTCCCTCACACAAGGATCACAGAAGACTTTAGTCCTGCCTACATTCTCTCCAGGAGTCTTCTCATGAGTGATAAGAATCCTGTAGCCAACAGATAGGAAGCCTATTTCCTTTTCTCCAGTAAGGATTTCAGATGACTATGGGGAACACATGAACACAGACAATAGGGTGGTGAAGGTCTGGGGTGAGGCAGGATCTAGGTGGAAAGGGTCAAATGGGGGAACAGAGGGGGAATCTGTAATACAACAATAAAGATTTTAAAAATTACATGTCTTAAAGATTTAAATTCAGCTTTTAAAGCACTTGCCATTTTTCTTTTTTCTCTTGTACAAAAATTTAGTCATTGAAGGAGAACCTTGCAAAGTGTTGGACCCTTACTGAAGCAGAGAAGATGTCCTTTGAAACTCAAAAAAAGAGCCTTGATACAGAAAATCAGTATTTAAGAATATCTTTGGAGAAGGAAGAAAAAGCATTGTCTTCATTACAAGAAGAGTTAAGGAAACTAAGAGAACAGATTAGGATATTGGAAGATAAAGGGACAAGTACTGAATTAGGTACTGAAAACCAAAAACTTAAGCAGTATTTGAAAGAAGAAAAGCAGAAAACACGCAGCATCCTTAATCAAAGGGAGACTCTGTTGGCAGAAGCAAAAATGCTAAGGAGGGAACTGGAGAGAGAACGACTAAAAACCATGGCTTTACGAGTGGAGCTTCAGCAGTTAAGCTCGAGGCAGTCAGATGGCAACCCAGATTCTCCCAACGTACTGAAGGATAAAAAGGAAGTAGAAATCTTACGGGAAAGACTCACGGAGCTGGAACGGAAGCTAACCTTTGAACAGCAACGTTCTGATTTGTGGGAAAGACTGTATGTTGAGGCAAAAGATCAAAATGGAAAACAAGAAACTGATGGAAAAACGAAAGGGGGCAGAGGAAACTACAGGGCCAAAAATAAGTCAAAAGATACATTTTTGGGTTCAGTTAAGGAAACATTTGACGCCATGAAGAATTCTACCAAAGAGTTTGTGAGGCACCATAAAGAAAAAATTAAGCAGGCTAAAGAAGCTGTAAAAGAAAATCTGAAAAAATTCTCAGATTCAGTTAAATCCACTTTCCGACATTTCAAAGATACCACCAAGAATATCTTTGATGAAAAGGGCAATAAAAGATTTGGTGGTATAAAAGAAGGAGCAGCTAAAAAACCAACAGTTTTTAGTGAATACTTACACCCACAGTATAAGGCACGTACACAAAACCAGAATAGAGGCCCTGCCATGCAAAGAGAGGGAAGGAAAGAAAAGCCAGTTCATTTTGAAGAATTTGGGAAAAATACAAATTCACAGAAATGCAGTGCTGAACATGGCTGTAGTGAAAGTTATAATTCTTTCAGAAAGTCTTGTTCTGGTGTATTTGAATGTGCTCAACAGGAATCCATTAACCTTTTTAATATGAAAGTGTCCAATCCTGTAAGGATAGATGAATTTAGACAGTTAATTGAAAGGTACTTATTAGAAAAACTGGATAGTTTTCATCACTGGAAAGAACTTGATCAATTCATCGATAAGTTTTTCATACATGGTATCTTTATACATGATCAGAAGCTCTTCACTGACTTTGTTAATGATGTTAAAGATTATCTTATCGACATGAAGGAATATCAAATAGATAATGATGGAGTGTTTGAGAAGTTGGATGGATATATATATAGACACTTCTTTGGTCACACTTTTTCCCCTCCATATGGACCCAGGTCGGTTTACATAGCACCATGTTGTTATAATAGTTTTTAACATTTGTAGATTGGATAGCATTTTATTTGATAAGTTTCTTGGATGTTATTATAAAGTACTTTAAAAAAAATAGTGCTATTTGTAAGAATACTTTATTGTCATAATTTATAATAAATTAAATGGAAAGATATAATTTCAAGTTAATAGCTATTACAGTCTGAAAATTTCATATAATCAGCTTGACTTAAGCAAATAATTTCATTAGCTTATTTTGTTTTCATTTTAGTCTATATGAAAAGGTAATCACCTTAAGTGAAATTTTCCTTTAATCTTTTATTTACTCATTTTTGGGGAGCTAGGAGTGAAGAATTCAAATTAAATTCTGAACTCAGAAGGGCTCACATACAATGATTTGGATTTCCCACTTATTTTCATTTGTCTATCCCATTCCTCAACTTAATTACAATATTTAATTCACTTATTATAGAATTATTATAGTGATATGATTAAAGAGGCAAACTTGATAAGCCACAAGTTCTAATGTGTGTGCTTTGAACATAACTTCTAAAAATAACTATCTTTGCTTATCACCTTTATATTCAATAATATGAAACTTGGCTAATCTTCAAATGTTAGCTTTATTTTTTACATTTGAGATAGTTATACAGAGTGTCCCCAAAACATGTATACATACTTTAACAGCTGATAGCTCATGATAGTTGATGTTTCTTTCTTTTTAGGCAGATTAAGCTTTGAACAAAGAAAATTAATCAACTTTTTTTATGAGGATACATAATAAATGAAGTTTACGGCACAAAACAGATGAATTGAGGGCACACAAATAGCAAACAAAATGATTCTTGATGTTTGCTTTTCCATTGCTTCAATTTACCAGCAATGCCTGGACCAGAATGGTCATCGGTTTGAAAACAGGCACTGACAAAAACCATTATTCATTTCTGTAGATTCTTTTAATTTTTTAAATGAACTGTATATTAATAAATACCACCTTTATAATCATTCAAAGTGTGTATACATTTTTGGGGGACACCCTATATATCTGAATACAAGTAATGTGTCATTAAAATAATGAGACTCACTCGTATCATTAGTCATTCAATGAATATCTAGTGCTTATAATGATTAAAGCATTGTGAAGCTACTTTGAGGAAACATGAAAAATTCTTGCTGTGAAGGAGCTCACAAGCTTTGAGAGTTAGAAAACTTTTTAAAACTGGCTTTGAAGGAGAAATGGATTTGCCAAGCAGATAGGTATTTGGAGATGTGACGACATGCCACTTTAGGAAGGAAAGATGGTGCTGGGGTATGAACAGTAGACAATATTTAGCTTACATTGAGAGCCACATTTTATGCTCAAGTATGTGCTTTATGGCATTTTGGATCACTGACAATAGCCTGTGGGATTTATTGGAAAGGATGGAGCTAAGGTGGTTTTTAAAAAAATACAGGTATGAACAGAAAGGGGAGATATTTGAGTAATACATAGTGAGTAAAATTGGTGGTTTTTGTGAAAGAAGTAGAAAGCAAAAATTTCCAGATTTCTGGTTTAAGGTTTTGGGTAAGGGGAATTGGATATGAGTTGTGCTCGGAGGAACGTATTAACATCCAAAGGAGAGGATTAGTTGGCCATTAGTTTAGCCCAGACTGTATGTGTGTAGTCTAGGCTGGAAATATTTATCACACAACATATGAGGGTTGTAGGAAAAGAAGGCTTAATATGACAAGACAGAGAGTGGGATCACGGACATCCAAAGATGATCTCAAGTAAAAAGAGTATGTATGTGAAAAGCTTAAAAAAAAAAAAAAAAGGATTAGATTTCTTTGGTGGGGAATTAAGTAGCCATGGATGGCGTTATGGAGTATTCCCAAGGAAGTAGTGACAGAAGCCTGGTGGCATTATGGACTGGTTGAGTGATACTGTGACAGAAGCCTGATATAGAGAGAAAGGAAACCAGTAAATGTAGACACGGGTTAACTTGAGCTGTGAGAGAGAAAAAGAGGGACTTTATTTTGTAAGTGGTATATAAACATTTCTGCTGAGGGATGAAGCCAAGAGGGAGGGATTGATTTTCTTCAGGAAAGGAAGAAAAATAGTGGAAACATCTCATTATTTTATTGTCACATTTCTGGGTTGTTTTGTGTTTGTTTTTTCTTCTATAGGATAAAAGTAGACTGGATCTTTCTGGCATGATTATACTATGATTATACTTCAGTTTAATTTAACATCCTTTCTCAGAGTGTTCAGATAATAGATTAATGGAGAAAAACATTTAAATTGTTTTTTGTTTAAATAAATTTAATTCTAACATAGATGAAAAAATGTGTTTACTGCTTTCAGTCGACCAGATAAAAAGAAACGTACGGTAAATATTGAAAACTCCAGGCATCGAAAACAAGAGCAGAAGCACCCTCAGCCACAACCTTATAAGAGGGAAGGTAAATGGCATAAATATGATCGCACTAATGGAAGAAACATGGCAAATGTCGAAATAGAATTGGGGCAGTTACCCTTTGATCCTAAATATTGATCATCAAGATTAAGTTAAATTAGAAAACGAGCAAATATGGATGCTTTCTATAATGTTTGTGTTGAAACTAGGATGAAAGGATCAAGATAATGTCTTTTTATCATTTCTAAGTATCTATTTGATGACTTTATATTACTCAGAAGCATCAAGCAAAAGCTTACTAACCTGCATTTTCCTGTTTAGCTTTGCTGCATAGTTTTGGGCACTGGAAAGGTTCAGCTATAGTTCTGTTAAGGAAGCCAGGAATGCAACAGGTTTTGTGCATGAAATGAGATTTCCTTTCAAAGTATGAGCTTAAAGCAAGCTCAAGTCATACATGACAAAGTGTAATTAACACTGATATTTGTGTGAAATTTGTAGTGGAGCTTGAAAAAAGTACATTGTGATGGAATTTCTTCAACATTTTATAATCTTACTCTTCTTGTCTTTTTGTGGGTTCAAGAGCCCGTTGACTTGTGAAGAATTTGCTGCCTTCTTATGAGCTTGCTGACTTGTTCTCTTGTGAAATTTCTTGCATATCTGAATATTGTGGAAGAAACAATAAAACTACAACATGAGGAAAACTAAAGGTCTTTATTTAAAATCTGGGCATTGTATTAATAGACAATTTTATACTTTGTAATAATTTTCATATATTTCCTCAGTAGTAATATTTGGAAAGCAGTTCAGAGGTGTTTTGCTAGTTCCATGAATCTTACCCAGTGTTTACTAGTGTATTTAAGCAGCATCTGAGTATTTTTACCCAGGAGTGTCTTTTTCTTGGGGAAAGTTATAAAAACAGTTCAGAATTTCATCTTCTATAGAGTTTCTCTTTTAACTTCCGTTCATAGATGTATATGTGGCTTCCGGTTCGACCCTCTGGCAAGTGAGTGTGGAAGAAAATAGCAGTTCTCTCATAGTTTCTTGAAATTAAGAAAGCACTAATTTCCTAGAAATAAATGTTTTCATAAATAAACGCTACATTTTGCTCAGTACTGTTTCAAGAATTTTAGAATGACTTATTCTGATTTGCGCCTCTATAATTTAATAAAACAATGCAGTTTTTAAAATCATGGTAAGTAATATATATGCCTTGATATACATAGAACTGGAGCTGATTTTGTCTAGGGAAAAGACCAATTACAAAATTATAGGTGTTAAAAAGGACCATAAAAATTACGTTGTCTAATTCCCTGAGCGTTTACTAAACTTCAGGTAAAATAAAAGTACTATTTTCCCCTTTTTTCATGTTTCCTTACCTCTTCCAAAACGTTGAAAATGATCAAGTAAGTAGGCAGTGTTGAATTGTTGTGAAACTCTTTATACAACCAGCTTAAGGGATTTTGATAAAATACATCTGCTTCATCAAGATACTGATTTTTTCCAGTCAGGTCTGGGGGACATTGGAGAAATCTCATTGGTAGTGGGTGGTGGACATGGCTATGAAAAGAAAGTTATTATGGAAGTTTTCAAATTGCTCTTAAGATATATCATGTTTACATAACAAAATGTGAAATATGAATCTATATTGGGTTCCAATTTAGGTGAAGAAGCAGGCCTTTAATGCAGTTTTCTCAAAGTTGGAAAATATGATTTTCACACCATGTACCTGTGCAATGACACCTTTATAAGTAAGAGTTTGTATTAGAGAGCAATATATGTTCACTGATTAACATCCAAATGAGTAATGGTTTTACTGTGGCCTAGAAAGACTAGAGAATGTATAAAAAGATGGATTGATGAATTATGACAAGTTAATTCCAGTTTCTTGAATCATGCAAAAAGCATGTTTATAACTTTGCCTTAGGACAAATAAAAATAAATACATAATAGGGGTTTATTTTATATATGAAATGCATATAAAGTAAATTCACACAAGACCTAATACATTATGACTCATAATTTTGGAGATAATGAGCAAAGCAGAAACATCTGGCAGCCTTATATTCCAAAATAGACATCAGAGTTGTTATTTTTTACTGCATTGAATACTTTGAAAAAACCTATGATGAGAACTTGATGATATCAAACACAGCACCCATCTATAGAAAGCAACTTATCTTTAGAACACATGTTCTCTGCAGTGTGAGCAGGAAGGGGGTGAATGTTCCTCTTTCACCTTTAGTCTTCTTTATATAGTAGGGGAAGCTAAAGTTGAAGGGATATTTGGGTCTTTACATCTAACATATGGACTTTTGCTAGGTAATCCTAATTTTCCAAATTGTCTATAAATTATTGACATAAGTAGAGTATTAAAAAAGGATAAACTACCTTAAAAAGATAACATTGATAAGTTGACTTTGCATATGGAAAATTAACTTCAAATTATTTAAAGCCAGATTAAGTTAAATAGGTGTAGAATTTCCTGCAGAAAAGCTGTTTGCCCTTGTACTATTAGGTAATCAGTAACTAGTACACTTTCCTAAAATAACACACATTGGGCTAAATGGATGTCTTTAAATGTCCTGCAGAGTTAAGACAATTTTATTGTTATATTCCCAGATATACTAATTCAAGTATTAGGATATCATTTAATCCAATTTCTGTAACTTTTACAGGTGAGACAACTAATATCTAGAGTTTAAAAAAACTGGTTTAAGACTAGGACAGTCGTCCAGCAGTAAATCTGGACTGGAATCCAGTGTTTTAAGATTAAAATTGTATAAATACAAGATGTATCACAAAGATTTGTGATAGTCAGTGATAACTCTTAATTTTTTTACTAGGAATACCAGCAAATAACCTATATAAAATTTATATTGTATTTGAATCTGATCACTTAAATCTAAATTGTTTAAATTTTTTAAAAAGGATATTGAAATTAAAAATGGTATATAATTTTCATTGACATAACATAAATATTTTTTTAAATTTGGTGAATAAATATGGAGTTTCAAGTTTTTTATAATCATTTGATCAGTGAACAATTAATTTAGACTCCTAATTCTGGAACCCGAAAGGAACTTTAAAGTAGTTTCATTTTCTTAATGATTGCATATAGTGGAAAAACTTTTATTACCTATAAAAAGGAGTAGAGTGGCAAGGCATCATTACAAATACTGAAGCTTCAGATTTATTGAGATTGTTGTAACCGAGTTCTTGAATATGAGTCATGACATCAAGAGTACCTCGTTGATGAACTAAACCAGTATAGAGGGCAAGGAGCATATTTGATAAAAACAGGAAACTTAGAGCTGGTTTCTTCCACATTTTCAGGTGGTTTAGTGAATACCCTGTATGAAGATAGATATGACATCTTTTAAAATCTTTTGTAGAAGTAGCACAGCTGTAAGACTGTCATGGACAAACAGGTGTTTACTAGTATAACCAGTAGGTCACCTTTATAATTGACAATTCACTATTATTGTCTGTTGTGATCTTGGTCTTAACCTTCTTATAGAAAAAGGAATTGAAATACAGTGGGAAGATTATGGCCAGAGAGTCCAACAGACCCAGAATTGAATTTTTACTCTGGCAAAAGTTGCCTGCCTTTGCTGAGCATTAGTTTCTCCATCTGCAAATGGGATAATGGTGCCTTTTTCAAGTATTAGTAAAAAAAAGTATGTCCAGTGCCTGTCCTGATACATAGTATTAAATAGTTGCTAAATAAATAGAATCATTGACCAGCTGCCTCCTCCATGCTCCTTTCTGGGAATGTGCCCTGACTGGGAAATGCAACCATCTGGTTCACAGGTCTATCCTAAACCACTGAGCCACACTGGGTGGGCCAATCCCCCCTCCCTTTTTTTAAAATGTGGCAAAAACCACAAAAAAACCTGGCAGAAAAAAAAAGGATAAATTAAAAATCCCTGTCTTCCTCCCATAGCCTTCTAGCAACGGTCACTGATAATAAGCATATTAGAATCTGATGAAAATACTATCAAACAACAGGACTTTATACTAGAAAAGAATAATTTTTTTTGTAATATATTTTTACTGATTTCAGAGAGGGAAGAAGAGGGAGGGGGAGAGGGAAAAATCAATGATTAGAATCATTGATTGGTTGCCTCCTGCATGCCCCTTACTGGATGTGCCCTTGACTGGAATCAAACCTGGGGCCCTTTAGTCTGCAGGCCAATGCTCTATCCACTGAGCAAACTGGCTAGGGCCAAAAGAATAATTTTATTAAGTTCCTTGATATTAGGTTTCATACTCTATATACATTGTCTTCACAGAATATAGTTCTTTTCGAATTTGGGTATCCAGGACCCAGTCTATGGCCTGCCTAAAATTTTAGCACTAATTCCCACTGGGGCCACGGCACTGTTTTCCATCAGCTATCTTATCCTGAACATGAATAATATTAATTTAGAGCTGTTTCCATTTAACTACAATTAACAAAGTTGGCCTAGGAAGGATTGATGAAATAAAATTTAGCAGGAAATCTTCAATGCTCAATTTTGTTCTTCTGTGAATATTTTAGATAACATTACCTCTGGTTCATTCCATTCAGTAATTGGACTGTCACATCCATTCACTAGTACTGTTCGAAATAACTTTGATTATCCAAAGAACATTGTGAAGAATGGTGATAAAAAACATAGCCAGGTGAAGAACCCCAAACCTTCATTTAAAACTAACATTTGTAAGATGTTTGAAATGGTAAAATGAGGAACCTCCCAAAAAACAATGAGAATTAGAACTATCTTTATTACAATGTAACTAAGATTCCAGTTCTGCCATCTTAATTCCAGCCACAGAAAGAGCAGACTCGTGAATACAACTTGAAAGTGAAGTGCTTTCTACCTAGTGGGCTCAAATTTCAAAAAGGTACACTAAAGTGTACAGCCTAACTTGCTCTCAGGAATGTTTAAATAAGTGTACAATGGGCTTCTAAAGTCGTTCACTCAGTAACAATTTGTTCACTATGGTCATTAAAAATGTTACAAAAAATTATGGCCTTGGGATACAGTAGCTTGGGCAACTGGTACATAGAATACAAGGTGGTAAAAATGGCATTCTGTGCGAATGCAGGAAGATAATGTGCTTGTGTTCGCAGCTGCTTAAGTATTAAAGGGCATCTTCTAAGTTAGGTGATGCTTACACGGTGGTGATTTTCATTTCCTGAGGCTAGCTCACTTTAGAATGTTGGATTCTTGCCGAAACTGGTTTGGCTCATGGGTAGAACTTCGGTCTGCGGACAGAAAGGTCCCAGGTTCAATTCCGGTCAGAGCCATGTACATTGGTTGCGGGCACATCCCCGGTAGGGGGTGTGCAAGAGGCAGCTGGTCGATGTTTCTCTCTCATCGATGTTTCTAGCTCGCTCGCTCTCTCTCCCTTCCTCTCTGTAAGAAAATCAATAAAATAAAATAAAATAGAATGATGGATTCTTTCAGTGAGAAATGTATTTCCATATTTGGATAAATAATAAAGCATTAGGAAGAGAAAAAATAGTCTAATATGATTGAGGGTCTTCAAACCATCACCATGTTGCTAAAGGGAGAAGAGGAAAGATACCAGCTTGAATGCTAGACTGAGTCACAAGAGCTCAGAATTCGTGGTTTTATTATAGGGACTCAGTATGGCTTCTTTAATATTTAAAAGAGATAATTAACAAGATCCTAATAGCTACCACCAATAAGTCTACTTAATTGTACATACAGGTAAGGAGGAGATGCAGTTGTCACTAAAAGGATCCACCCTAAAATGAGCTAGCTTCATAAAGTTCGAGTCATCACACTGTAATGTAAGCTCTACCTAACTTGAAATATAAGTCCCTGCTTCCAGTACCTGAAGATTCTGGGAATACACGTTTTCTCTCTGTTCTATAAAGCCAGTTACAGAAATCTTTCAGCCTCATGTAATTTCCAGGAGAACAAGGACATAGTATGAACCCTGTGAATTACCTGCCAAAATATAGGCCTCTTCATTTCACATAGTGGCTAACTCAGTGCTAAATAGCATCCCAGAATACTTAATTTTCTCCTGTTATCTGAGCCTACAAAAATATTTAAAAGTAGGTATGTAGCCCTAAATGGTTTGGCTCAGTAGACAGAGCGTTGGCCTGTGGACTGAAAGGTCCTGGGTTCGATTCCAGTCAAGGGCATGTACCTTGGTTGTGGGCATATCCCCTGTGGGTGGTGTGCAGGAGGCAGCTGGTCGATGTTTCTCTCTTGTTGATGTTTCTAACTCTCTATCCCTCTCCCTTTCTCTGTAAAAAATCAATAAGATATATTTAAAGTAAATAAATAAAAGTAGATATGTAGAACATTTCTGGAAGGATTTATAAGAAATTGATAGTTATCTCTGGGGAATGGGGCCAGATGATGATGACCCTGATGGTTTATCATTTTTTACACTATGAGTATTTTTATAATTAAAAGTACACAGGATTCTTATCAAATCACTCTCATCAGACTATTTAAAAAATGTTCTAAATCTTTTATGTTCCAGTTGATTGTCCTATAATTTATCTTGATACAATCACATTTTAAGTTTTGGATATTTAGTGTGTTAATCTGCATTCTTCATTAATGACTGAGGAGGATCATTGTAATGAAGAGGATGGGGAAAGTTTGGGGCTGTACATTACTGATCTCATCAAACTGAGGGGTAGCAAGTATGCATCCATGTTTTGGCAAGAATTACTAGAAAACTCATGTTTAGAAAAATATATCAGGTTCTATCACAGATATTTCTGAGTTAATGCTTTCATTTTTAAATACTCCTTGGTAAGTCGACTTGATTTCAGTGTTCAGATGAGAAAAACAAAGGGTAGTTTAATTCTAAAAAGGGATATATAAGAGAATGGGCCTGGAACCATCAAAAACATAAATGAGAGTGCTGGCCAATCAGGAAGGCGTAAAACATTTTATGTTATACTTTGCTAAGGAAAGAAGCTATATTTTCATCCATAGTGAGAAGTCAAGAGGAAAAGTCAAAACCAAATATTTTTAAGGGTGTTATTAGAACTTTATTTAGAGATAAATGACAAAATAACCACCTAAAAGTGATTGCCTCAGGTGAGGGGAAATGTGTAAGAGGGCAGTAGAAGCGGTTTTTTTTGTTTTTTTTTAAGTGCTTTGTTATGGCTTTGAAACAGTGCACTTAGGTAATTTTGATAAAAACAATCAGCATATGGAAAAAGAAAGTGGCCTCATAAGAGACAAGCAAGTCTGCACTGGCTACTCTCGTGAAAACATGAAACAGGTACCCAACCCATCATGAATAGCAGGTGCTGGAAACACCAGCACAAATGACACGTTCAGTCTAAGAATTTCAGGGCTATTAGACTAGTGGCAAATTTATTTTAAGGAAAGGAAACTGAGGCACAGGTTATACAGGTCAGTCAGGGTCAGAGGCAATCACAGAAGATATGTTTTCTAGACTTCAGTCATTTTTGGATAGGACTGAATGAAACTCAAATTAGAGAAGAAAAGTTATTGCAGATTGATAAATGGCTCCAATTATTCCTCTTCCTGTGTCCAATCCCTACACAAGCCTGAAGTTTATTTCTCATCTTGAGAATCTGCCCTGGCTTTGGGAATGTGATGGAAGCAACAGTTCCATGCTTGTATCTCAAGGGCCTTGTACACTTGTTCCTTTCCCTGGAGCTCTGCCTACCCCAAGTGAACAAGCCCTAGGTAGCCCCGCTGGAGAGCGAGTGTACACAGAAGAGCTGAGGTGCTTAGCTTACAGTCTGCTATAAGTGCTTAGCTTACTGTCTGATGAGAGTGATTTGATAATAACCCTGTGTATTTTTAATTATAAAAATACTCGTGGTAAGAAAAAATTATCAAAATTACATAAGTGGATTGTTTCAAAGACATAACAAAGCATTTTAAGCAAAAAGATTGACAGTATTAACTCCCTAGCTTTACCCTGTTTCTAGTCCCTGTTGATTACTCATCTAATCCCTCTCCAGTCCAGTGATTTTTAGTAATTAATATTTAAAGGAAATCAATAGTCATTTATTCTGAATTAAATGTAAAGTTAGCAAAATTTCAATTCATAATTTTTCCAAGCCAACCGATATGAAAATTCATGTTTTCCAGAGCTGAATGATATAAAACTTTAGAAGTCACATTTTAAAAAAAATTGCAAATAATCTACTGGGAAAAAAATGTAGAAAGGGCCACAAAAATTAGGTGTGAATCACTTTTAAAATTACATATGCATTACAGTGAGTGTTAAAGTACCAAAAACATAAAAACTAGTTTCAACAGCTATAAATATATTTTCATTTATGAAAAAACAACTTACTAGTTTAACTATAAACTTAAAGTAGCTATTCTAAAATAGATATATTATTCCATTTCTTTTTTTTTAGTGAGAGATTTCTAACAGCCAGGAATACCACCACCAGAACAATATTGGATCCTTATAATTTGGATATTGGGTCCTTATGATCTTATCTCACTTTACAGGACACAGGAAAAGGGATATTTAGGCTGCAGAAAGAATACTGCAGTCATATAATTATTTTGCAAATAAGCAATTCTCTTAGCCTAGTTGAAAATATTTTATAGTGTAATAACCTTTAACGAGCTTATCTTTTATCTACTTCAAGTATTTTTTTTCTATATTGAACAAAAATACTTACCACAGAACACCATACAGAATGGTAAAACGGGATAGATAAACCTGAATTCTTTGTGGCTCAACATGCTATAATAAAAAAAATAATATTTTCTCATATTACATGATACATTGAGAACCTTATGTATTTAAAATGAAATATAATTAAGATTACCTGTTCTTCTAAGTACTGAGACTGAATTTCATGCTTCAGGGATCTGTTGGTTTTTTGTTTTGTTTGTTTTTTTAGTTATAAAGTGGTGTGTTAAAAGTAATCCTAACATTTGATGTCAATGTCTAAAGTACAATTACATTCTAAAAAAAAGATTTCTATTACTAATCCAAGTCATTACTCAAATTTGAAAGATGCATACATTTTCACTTTAAAATATTTTTCTAGTCCTTTAATATTTAAAATTTTATGTTCAGCTTCTTAAAAGTTGAACATAATTCTTAAGTAAACTATACATATCAGAAGTATTCAAAGTACCAACATAATTACTACCTTTTCTGCTAAATAATCCCAATTACCAAATCCTAATAGTTAATGGATCTCCAAAAGATAACAGTTTACTTCTTGAAGAATTTAATTCCTTGGTAATATCATCAAAATTAACTATTTGAATAAATAAAATCTTACCTATAAATCAGAAGTGTCCACAGCACAGTTACCAAAAGTATCCGGTGCCTCTTTGGGGCTAGAAAGCAGCCATGGATAAAGAAGGGTAGGTGAGTACCCAAAACAACGGGAAATCCTTGACTGAAGTACCAGTGCCATGGATGAGAACCATAAAATGTCCCCAAATTCTGCAGCACGTTAAATTTCAAAAAATTATATTGAACCAGAGTCCACTGGCATAGTTGAAGAAAAGAGAAACAGAAATGTGTTAGTGCCAAGTTTGAGTCTTTGGCATTAGGGTATCTGGCAGAATCTTGACATTAAATTAGAAATGATCTAAAAAGCAAACAATAGTTTACACTAATTTGATTAATGACCATATGAAAGCATTTTTTTTTTATGTTCTAAGTATTTGTGTGTTCCTTGTTCGTTTGTAAAACACTAGGTTTCTGAGATTCAAGGAAGTCTGAATAAACATACAAATTTTGACAGTGTAAGTTTTACATAGAATTAGAGCTAAAGAGAACACTTAAAAATAACTTTTATCACCCTAGCCAGTTTGGCCAGTGGACAGAGCGTTGACCCACAGACTGAAGGGCAGTGCCTGGTTGCAGGTTCGGTCCCTAGCCCAGGGCAGGCGTGTCCAGAAGGCAACCAACCTATATGTCTCCCATTGATGTTCCTCTCTGTGTCTCTTCCCCACCCTTCCACTCTAATAATCAATGGAAAAATATCCTTGGGTGAGGATTAACAACAAAAATACTTTATAAAATTTATTTTGTATCGGAGCGTATATGTGGGGCACCCACATTAAAAATTTTATTCTAGTACCTTCCATCACATATTACCTAGTAAATAAAGCTTTGAAAAGATTACAAGTGGAATTATGGCACAAAGCAGACAATAAACAGCAACAACAGCTAACATTAGGTGCTCACTTGTGCCAGGCCCCATTGTAAGTTCTATACATGCAGTATCTCACTTAATCCTCCAATGTTATGGGACCATAATTATTTCCAGATAAAGAAACTGGTAAGAAAGGTGGTTGGCTTCCAAGCTCACATAGCTTGTCCAAGTTCACAAGGCTAATTGAGGGCACTAGGCTTCAAACTGTGGCAATCTGATTCCAGAGCCCATAAGTGACTTAAAAACAGGTAACTTAGAAACAGCCTACAGTTGTGAGATTAATATATCAAACCAAATGCTTGAAAAATATTCTGGTTAATTTGAATTTTGAATTATTACCTTGAGGACAACTAAAATAATTTTAATCAAACTTTTATTACTATAAACCTGACAAAAATATCTTTAAAAAATGGACTCTCTTGAACTTCAATTAGGAATACACAATTCTGTTATATAGAAAGCATAACATTTTTTTTTAAATATATTGATTTTTTTACAGAGACGAAAGGAGAGAGATAGAGAGATAGAAATGTCGATGAGAGAGAAACATCAACCAGCTGCCTCTTGCACACCCTTACCGGGGATGTACCTGCAACCAATGTACATGCCCTTGACTGGAATCGAACCTGGGATCTTCAGTCCGCAGACCGAAGCTCTACCACTGAGCCAAACCAGCTTCGGCAAAGCATAACAAATTTAATCAAAGATATATGCTAGCAGTTTTTTTTTTTTTTTAATTTAATCCATATCATTTAAATGTTCCCAAATATTCATGAATTTAAAAATCAGGTTGAACTTTTAGTGTAATAAATGGTTAGACTAAAAATAGTTTAATATATTTGACTTACTTGACCAAAAAATATACGATCAATTATCAGAGACCAACTCAAAGTGACAAATCTGAAAAACAAAAAGGATGATTAATATTCTGAACTCACTGAAAATCCATATTGGCATATATCCTTGCAAATGCCATACATCAAAGCTATTTCCAAAAAACCTTAAAAATACTTTAGCTTCACATATTGAATATGGATTTACACATTTTCAAAGATCTTTCATTACATAAGCTGCATTTAAACAAAGTTTTAAAAAGAAACACCACATGATCTATTGCTAAATAACATGTTACCCCAAAACTTGGCAACCTAAAACTAAGAACATTTATTATCTCACTGTGTCTTTGAGTCAAAATTACAGCCAGGTAGAGCTTAGCTTGGTGCTTCTGGCTCAAGGTCTCAAGGTGTTGGCTAGGGCTATAATTTCATCTAAAAGCTTGGGGGGTAATGGAGAGATTTGCTTCCAAACTCACTCACATGGTTGTTGGCAGAGCTCAGGCTCCCTCCTTAAGATTGCCTCAAGTGGCTCCCCTCAGCATGAGCCAGCTCAGTGAGACAGGCACCCAAGATGGAAGCCACAGTCAATATTTATAACCCAATCGTGGAAGGAACACCCTTCTGCCATTTCTGTTTGTTAGAATTAAGTCAAAAAGTCTATCCCCTGCTCAAGACAAGGGTATTGTACAAGAGTGTTAATATCAGAGGAGGGGATTAGTGGAGGCAATCTCAGAGGCTGCCTACCACAAACGTATATACAGAAAAGTACACAATGAGAATAAGGCTTTATGAACCATCTCTATATGAACACAACTGTGTAATTGTCAGAGAGAGCAAAATACAGAACGTCAGTAGCACTTCAGAATGCCCCCTCATCCCTCCAACCAGGCAATCTCCACTCCCTCCAAAGGTCAACTATATTTTTTGTTAATTCTCACCTGAGCATATTTTTTCCATTGAGTTTTACAGAGAGTGGAAGGGGAGGGAATGAGAGAGAGATTGCTTGGTTGCCTCCCTCACGTGGTCCAATCAGGGCTGGGGATTGAGCCTTGACTGGAATTGAACCCAGGACTCTTCAGTCCACAGGCTGATGCTCTATCCACTAAGCCAAACCAGCTAGTGCTGACTAATGCATTTTTAATTTGCCAAGCCCATGTTTCTTCTACAAAACAAAACCAACTACAATTGCCTAGATCTAAGAATTCTGAAAATCATGAGGTAATATGAGAATGCCCATTATAAATCACACAGCCCTATAAGAATGTAAAAGAATCAAGTCTCTCTAAAATGTATTTGAGAAATATTTAGGAAATAAAATATAGGAAAATTATTAGAAAAATTGCAAAGATTCTTATTCACTTAAGCAAATAAAAATACGTTTAATCAGAATCTTAAGTATCCTATATAATAAAGAAGTAATATGCAAATTGACAATCATGGCCTCACACAAGATGGCCACCCCCATGTGGTCACAAAATGGCTGGCAGGAGAGGGCTCTTAGGGGTGACTGGGTCTACAGGGAAGGGAGAGCAGTTGAGGGGGGAGGCTTGCAGGGGAGGGCAGTTAGGGGGGACCAAGCCAGCAGGGGAGGGCAGTTGGGGGCAACCAGGCCAGCAGGGGAGGGCAGTTGGGGGCAACCAGGGCCAGCAGGGGAGGGCAGTTGGGGGCAATCAGGCTGGCAGGGGAGCAGTTAGGTATCAATCAGGCTGGCAGGGGAGTGGTTAAGGGGTGATCAGGCTGACAGGCAGGTGAGCGGTTGGGAGCCAGCAGTCCCGGATTGTAGGAGGGATGTTTGATTGCCGGTTTAGGCCCGATCCCACAGTGATTGGGCCTAAACCGGCAGTTGGACATCCCCTGAGGGATCCCAGATTGGAGAGGGTGCAGGCTGGGCTGAGGAAACCTAACCCCCCTCTCCCCGCAGTGCACAAATTTCATGCACCGGGCCTCTAGTTACAATATAAATTTGGAAATATTCTGTTTCCTTGATCTGACAATTCTCATTGACATTAGAAGATACAATAATTGACTCAAAGATGTAAAACCTTATTTGAAATATATTTTTCAGGTTATTAAAATTAATAGATGGATTGTAGCAATACTTACCCAACAGGTAAAAACTGATGTAGAATAAGATCAAGCTTTCTCTGTGCTTGCCAGAAATGTCTGAAGAGCAAAGGTATCCATGGAATGACTGCTGTGGGGCGAATAATAAAGGCAAGTGCCACCAGGGATGAGTACTTGACACTGTAGACAAGGAAAATGTATTGTCAAGACAACTAGAAATGAGTTTAGAAGTTATCTGCTATTTACACTGTGATATAACCTTCCCTAAAACAGGTTCAGTGTGTAGTATGTAAGTTAATAGTATCACTCAGTTTCTCAGTCACCTTAAATAACAACTTTTCATCTATACATCCCTTTGTTTCTTTCCCATTCCCACTGCCATAATTTCACATCAAGTCATGTCATTTGCCTGGAATCTTTTCATAGTCATCGTAGATTAATACTTATTTAGCACTTACTTTGCAATAAGACCTATGCTGTACACTTTAATAGAAGTCAATGCTGAGATATTCTCATACCACCCTTAAATAATCTTTCATTTATAATACTTGCATTTTTAAAGGAGGTTTAAATTTTTTATTTATTGTCAAGCCAGGAATAGTACCTGTCATGGAACGAATGCTTATCTAGTGGTGGTTTATACCCATGACTCTCCTTTCCTGACTGAATCAGGCAGCCAATCTAAGGCTGGCCAGCGTGAAAGCTATGTCCAAATAAGGACAATGACATTTAACAACTGAATCAGAGTCTCTCAAAGTGAATGTGAGATACACAGGAAATGGGGCAGTTGGTAATATACAAGTAGACAGAAAGAATGGCTAAGCCTCAAAATGATAAATCCCTGAAATGGATTCATAGGCTGGGCTATAAAGGCACAAGAAAATAGCCCATTTCTCAAAAATACCTTGCATTGTACATAACCTAATTCATTTGTGTGGCTAAGATATTGTGTAATTTTCTTCTAGGCCTGGCCACAAGTCTAAGATGCCTGTTTTCCTTATTTTCACATTTTGCCATGTGATAGAGTTCTTATCATGTCGATAATTTAACTGAATGTCATTCTTTCAGATCTTGCTTAATGTCATCCTTGCAACCACCTTTTAATATGAGAATGGACACTAGCTTCTTAACCAGATTCAAATTTTGGCTTTCTCCCTTTCATTATATCCTAAATATAGCTACTACAAAAGAATTCTTTCTAAATCAGAAATGATTATGCCCTGCTTCTTAAGAGCCTCCAAGGGCTTTCTACAACCTATAAAATGAAGTTCCCATTCTGGAAAAGGGCAGTCCCTTTTCAGCTTCATCCCTTACTCTTCTCTTCTCCCGTGCATCCTACCACAAATTAGCTACTCTGGACAAGCTGCCCAGAATACAGTGAAGCCCTTTATGGTTTTATGCCTTTGGTCACGTTGTTCCCTTGGCTGGCATTTGCTTCCCTAGTGTCTGTGCATATGCCCAAATTAGGTCCATATATTTTCTAGTTGCCCTTCTAGACCTGTTTTTCTCCACCCTTCATGCAGGGCGGTTGACCTGTATGGACTCTATCAATGGGCTCTTTTGCATTTTAATTGGCTTTGGCTAATTGGAGGACAGAAGAGTTACGTCAGGGTATTTTATTCTCTCCTTGCTATTGGCTAAAAGCTGGCTGTGCCTGTCTCCTGTTGGGGCCCTCTCAAAGTTTCAGCTCTGTAACATTTCCTCTCCTTGCTCCTTGGGGCCAAGGGTTAATAGAAACTTCCTGCAGAGACTAGTCCTGGGGCACTATGGTATCCCCTCATTGACTTTTCTAAATATTGTCTACATCTTTGTAAACAGTCTTTTTATTAACCTCTTCTTAATTACCAGTTTAAGTATTAGTATATCTGTTTCATGCTACAATAAATGTTATCAATTGGAAATTTGTGGGTCTAATAACCTTCATGAACATTAGGGGTCCACTGGACATTACAATGTGTTGATATTTAAGATCTTTTCAAAAGCATGCTTTAGAATTTTGTATATTCACAGCAATATATCTCACCTGTTCATAGACTTTGAACCTTCCAAAGGGTAGTAGAAAAGAGCAATTACAGTGAGAACAGTTTCCATGGTGTTTGTAAGAGTTCTGGTACAGCAATACCATGTGAACCAAGAGCATAACTGGCAAAAAAACTAAGAACCATTATGAGCAAACATACATGCAGGGGGAAATAAAAAAAAGTTAGTGTTATCTTCTATGGAAAATAGCAAGCAAGTCTAAATGCTGCAAAAAAATCACATCAAAAGGGAAGTAATGTTAAAACATTGTTTTAACATTACTTTAACATTGTTTTAACATTACCTGCCCAAACATTGTTTCTAAGAATTTATATCAAATACATGTCTATGATATTAGATCTATATTTGTTAAAGTTAAGTTTACACTTTCAAATACATTTTTATGGCACTGCATTTTATTTAAATCTCACTTCTCACTAATGAAAGAAACAAAATACAGATTCTTTGATGGTATAATTTATAGAGAATTGAGATTCATAACTATATTATCCTAATCAGTATTCCTCAAATTGTCTTATAGTACTGACAAGTAAATTGACTGTTTTTATTGATCTTGGTTTGAAATGTTGCCCTATTTCTTGAAAAATTAAGAAAACATAGGTGAGAAAAAACCTGTCAGGAGATATCATTAACTTTTAACTTGAAAATTGATTAAATATATAAATCATATTCTTTTTAAAGAATATGCAAACAGAAGCAACATTATGTCTACAAAACCATATTAAAAGAAGCTTGTTAGTTGATGCAAGGGTGTTAAACAGAGGTACCTTCTTCCTATCTTTTCAAATAAAGCCTTTAAAATTTTTTTCCAATTTTTGTGAAGTTAAAGGCCTTTCCTAAATTAGAAGAACGCAGTGCTGCTACTTTTGGGGAAGGATTTCAAAGGCCTGATGGCTTTGCCATTTTAGGTTGAGCCTTTGGTAGTGTATAAAGGCACAAAACAGATACTGTCCTTATCCTGGAATCAGTTAGCAAGGGCTCATTTGCTAAACCAATTTGTCTTTTTAATGTAAATCAACATGCTACCTGAAGAAATATGTTCTGTTAATATTTAGTAAATTCTTAATATTATTAATACTTTATTATAATAAACTAGTGGCCTGGCGCACAGATTCGTGTACAATGAAAGGAAATTAATTAGAAGAAATATTTTAATATAGCCATTTGCCCTTTATAATAGAAATGTCAACTAAAGCCGAAACTGGTTTGGTTCAGTGGTAGAGCGTCGGTCTGCGGACTGAAAGGTCCCAGGTTCGATTCCGGTCAAGGACATGTACATTGGTTGCAGGCACATCCTCGATAGGGGGTGTACAGGAGGCAGCTGGTCGATGTTTCTCATTGATGTTTCTAGCTCTCTATCCCTATCCTTTCCTCTCTGTAAAAAGTCAATAAAATATATTAAAAAAAAAAGTCAATCAAATTCACAATCGACAATGACAGATAGAAACACATGCATATGATTGGTGCCAGTGAGAGCTTTATATATATTGCATATGCACAAGACAACTTAGCCATCTATATAAGTCTAACTTGCTTAATTAGACTTGCTTTCTGATTTAGCTTAACTTTTACCAGTCCAGCAAAGCACCTCAACTTCTCTTTCAGATAATTGTTAGCAACACAGCAGTAAATATCAACACAAAGCAGATTATTATTGTAGATCACGCAGGGAGAACAAAGTGTAAAATATTTAACTGCAGCAGTGTTTGACTATATTCTGCACAGTGAGAAAACCTGAAAATCTCCGTTTTCCAGCTAATGAAAAGAAAATAGGATTCCACCCAATCTCCTATCTACCTACTCCAGGACTTCTGTGAGGATCAAATGAGATAAGGCATGGGAGAATGCTTCACAGATATTTGGTTACAATGTGAAATGTTTGCACCTGGCTATAAAGCAAGTCGTGTTCCTGGGCTGAAGAAATTGCAAACAGACTTGTCACTAGGGAGAGGAAGTTGGGCACTGCTAAGTGACATCATTACCCACTGCCCACAGTGACCGTTTCTGGGCTGGGCTGGGCTGGGCATGGGGCCTTGGCAGCATCAGCTGCGATTTGGTGGACTGCTGCTCTAGAGTGGTGGCAGGGCCTGTGTCCCACTTGGGGGAAGCCCAGTGTTGCTTTATGGGCACCAGATCCACAGTGCCAGTGCGCATCATGGCAGCTCCGGTGTTAAGCATATGTCCCCTGGTGGTCAGTGCGCATCATAGCGACCAGTTGGATGGTTGGACACTTAGCATATTAGCCTTTTATATATATAGATTCTATTCCAGAAATGTGTTGGTAAATTGGTACCTTGGAATTTGGAACAAACTTTCCAATAAAAACAGTGAAAAAAAGGTATTAAAATTTCTAGGGTCAAATTCAGGAAAGTAACAACAATACTACAGTATCTGATTACTCTTCAGGATATGGCTTTAAATGGGAAAATCCATTCAAGGTTTGAATAGGAGATCTAGAATCTATCTCCCCACTGTGAAATAAGCTAAATGACAAAAGACAGCCTTCTACACCACATCCTCTCCCTTATAGAGTCCAGCTGTTTTAAACACTAGTTAGAGGTGGGCCAGTGCTTTAATGAAAAGGCATTTCTCAGGCTGAGTGTCAGGAAGCTGGAGGAATAGTGGACAGGGTTGTAAAAGGCTGAGGCAACTTGTGAGGTAGGCAGTGATTTAGAACTATTCCTACTGACTTCCATGGAAAGTGCGGCAAGAACTCTGACAGTGGGAGGAGTGACAGTGCTTCAGAGGAGACATCCTAGGTTCACCCTCACACAGGGTTTGAGGGCTTCAATGACTTCCACCATCTAGAGCCCCATCAGAAGAGAGATGGTGCGCCATTTGCATTTTATTGTTCTTAATTATGTTAGTACTCTATAAAATTGTATGAATTATCTTCCGAAACTGGTTGGGGAATCGATATTGTTTATGCTCATAGGAATGAAAAACTGGCATATAGTTTCTAAAGTGTTGAGAACTTACCACCCATCTTGCTACTTGCTGATTTTCTAGTTGCTTTATTAATGAGTAAAGCCTCAAGTCGGCTATCGCAGACAGAAGTGCTTGGGCAAGTCTAGGAATCCAAATCTTCAATAGTTAAAAGAAAAAAAAGAAATTAAACATCTGTTGGTTCACACTGAATTATAAGAAATCAACAAGCTAATCCAACTACCGATATTACTACACACACACACACACACTAATTTTAATTTAAATAGCCAACAAACCATTTCATTGTGTTAAGGTTCTATTTTAGAAGTATATCTAGTTATTTTCATTAGCATAACAATAGGTAATTTTTAATAAAACTTATACAGTACTATATGCTAAGTAGGTATCATATTAAGTATATATTTAATTTTTTAATTAATTTTAATTTTTGTTAATCCTCACCTGAGGATATATTTCCTTTAATTTTTAAGGTGAGTGGGAGAAAGAGGAAACATCGATGTGAGAGAGACATATCAATCGGATGCCTCCTGCATAAGCCCCGACCAGGGCCCAGGCTGGGGAGGAGCCTACAACCGAGATATATACATGCCTTTGACCAGGATCAAACCAGGGACCCTTTGGTCCACAGGCAGGCCAATGCTCTATCCACTGAGTCAAACTGGCTAGGGCTTAAGTTTACATATATTTTATATGTATCAGCTCATTCAGTCTTCCTAACAATCCTATGAAATTGATACTGTTTATAAATGAGAAAACTGAGACACAGAGAGGTTAGGTAATTTTCTCAATGCTGTACAGCTAGTTAGTATGAAAGCCAGGATTCAAACCCACTCTCCCTGGTCTCTATGTGCTTCACTTCTCTGACCCCTTCTAGTTCAAAATTATATCACCTTTACTTAAAATAATCAATATGAGAGTCTGAACAACTGATGATAGCATCCTAAGTTCCCCACCTGGAACCTGACCAGCTGCTTTTTTTTGGGGGGGGGGGGTGCTGGCGGGGGGTGGGGATGGAGACCAGGGGAGGTTTCCTTTTCCACACCCGGGCCAGGTGGGCCAGCTTCAGTGAGCAGGGCTGGGAGGAACAGGAAGGTTTTTTGAAGACCCCTTCATTGATAATAAAACCTACTCCTGAGAAAGAAGATTTCCTTGGTGACATTATGTGGTTCCAGACTTTATGGAGACCCTGCATGGCCAGCGGTTGGCACTGAGAGAAGAAAGGAGAACTCATAGCTCCTAAGTTCTACTTGTGTAGTGAAACTGCTGCCGCTCAGGAAGTTCTATGGGAAGCATAGGTCTGCTCCTCCTTTCAATAATGGAGAATCAAATAGCATTGCAAAGGGGAGAGTATAATTCTTCCCATTTTCTTTTTTTTTCAATCCCAGAACCTCAATGTATTTCAGTCTTAAAAAAAAAACCTCAGGATTTGGACTGCCTTTGGAATTCTGGGGGTACTTTTCTAACAGAAAATGGGAAGACCTAAAGTGCTGAGTCCAACTTGATGATAGCTTAAAGGATCTAGACAGTGAGGTCAGAGAAACTTGTGTTCTGAGGAGACATCCTAGGTTCACCCTCACACAGGGTTTGAGGGCTTCAAATATCCTTTGTTAGTTCTGTTAGTTCTTCCTTTGTATCCTCTCCTAGCAAATAACCCTAGAAATTCATGTTCCAGGAATTACAACCCTCCTTACTGTTGAGGCCTAATTACAATGTAGCACAATCATTAAATTTTTGTCAAATTGTCTTAAGTTTTCATTTCAATAGTATGTGTTTATATGTATTTAATCTTCATAAGCTCATATAACATGGTCTTCAGCTTACAAGTTAAAAAAAACAAGATACAACCTGCTCTCAAGTGACTCTTTATGAAGCATCCAAATAATTAATATATAATGTAATCATCCCAAAAACCTTAACAGATTGCTCCCAGCAGGACACTTTCATGCTCAGCCTTGTGTTGTAGTGTGTATCGAAGAGCCACATTAGTCACAGCATGTCTTTGGAACCTTATGCTTCCCAGATATGGTCAGAATAGCCTTTTAAAAACAAACTTCATGATACCAATAATACCATTTAGTTAATATAGCCTAACCTTTAAAAAAGGATGGCATGGGAGGGCAAGGTGGAGGGGTCAATGGGAGAAAAAAGGGAACTGTAATCCTTTCCACAAGATACATTAATAAAAAGGATGGAATAATCTACATTTAAGAACTTTTTTGATTACTTTTAAACTTACCAGCAATTGAACACTGTCATTCCCCAAAAGATGCAGAATCTTGTAAATGCTTGCAAAGATTAAGGGATAAGTGTAACCCCTCAATCTTTCTGTCCATTCCCAGGTCAAATAACCATAAGTAGTAATATTAAGGACTAATTTTAAATGGCACTGAAACAAAACCAATTTTCACTTCCATATATAAAACTTTTATTTTTTAACACAGCAGCTTAAAAACACAACATTTTACACTAGATATTTAAGTGAAAAATGCAATTGGCCAACTAAACTCTTAAGTTCTTCAAGGCAGGAATGTGTTTTTTATTTCACATATTTTCTCCACAGAACTGAGCACTGGAAATATATGCTAAAGATTAAGTCATGTACATTAACATCAAGTAAATATACAGGTGAAATATTAGCATAAAATAAAAGCATACTTTGATAAAATTATTTGGAGAAAATATAGAGGATTGATTGAAAATATATACTAGCAACTAACGCAATAACCAACATGAATTGAATACACATTTCTAATCTGGACAAGAAAATACAAAGGATATTTGAAAACCATATGATGTGCAACTTCAAGAGACTGCCAGTACTCATCTGGAACAAAACTTGTCTGGACTAAAAAGCAGTTACATATTCGTAACGCTATGGTAAACAAGACCAGATAAATGTTCTCACCAAGAAGATCTGAAAAACAAAACAGGTAATTGTGACGCCAAAGTCAGGCAAGTTCTGCTTGCAGAACTACAATCTGCTGCTCTGGCTGGCCCCTTGCCCAGGCTCTGTTCAGGCACAGTGGTGAACTCTGACCTCTCCACACTCTCAAAGCGGACCTGGGCTGAGAGTTACACAAGGGCCTCACCACTGGGTGATTTATCTCTCCTTTCATTTAACCCATCTTTCCCACAACTTACTGTATAAGGAGAATATACTGAAAAAGAGATTGGGTTAACTAAGGCCTTTGGTGGATTAGGTTATCCTATATATGTATGTAGGTACAGCCCATTTTACAAATGAGGAAACAGAGGCTCAGAAATAAATTGCCTTGTCTAAAGGCAAAAAAGTTGCAAATGACTAAACAGGATTCAAAAGCAGGTCTGTATGCTGACTCCAATACCCTGCTCTTAACCATTGATGGACAGCAGACAGACTGAATACAGAGGGTTTCTTTAAAAAAAAATTTTTTTTTAAATCCTCACCAGAGGTTATGTTCATGATTTTAAAGAGTGAGGGAGGGAGAGGGAAAGAGGTGTGTGTGTATAAATATGCGAGAGAAACCGCTTGGTTGCTTCCCTTACACACCCCTGACCCCTCACCCACCCAAGGGGATGGAACCCGCAATCAGGGTCTGTGCCCTGACGGGAATCAAACCCACAACCTTTCACAGTACGGGTGGAAGCCACACGGGCCAGGGGCAGAGTATATATTTTTTAAAGTTGAATTTAGTGCCCTGAATGAATGAGAAGCCCATCTTTATGACGGACTGAATGAATGAGAAGTCCATCCCTCTTCCCCGCCCCCCCAACTTGCTGGGGTGTGTGTGTGTGATCTTTCCTGCCCGCTCATCCTGACCCAAGAGCAGACCAGGGGGGAAATGAAATGAGGCGGGTGGCACCTGGTCGCTCTCCAGGAGCCAGCCCCTCGCCGCTGCGGAGGCCGGGGCGCCCTCTCTCCAACAGGCTGGCCCCGCCGAGCCCCTGCACTCGCACGGCGGGGCGGGCGGCAGCAACACCAGGGCGGGCAGCCCGGAGGGAGAATCCCGCACGGAGTGCACTAGGGTTCCCGCCCCCCGCCCCCAGCAGGGGGAGCCCGCGCTCCTTCCCGCCTCCCCCGCTCCCGCCTCCCCCGCCCCCGCCGTCCGCCTCACCCCTCACTCACCGCGGCGCCCGGAGCCCTCCTGCGGGCGGAGGTACAAGGCCGACTTTCTCTTCCGCAGCTTCACCTTCTCGCGGGAGCGGCTCTGGAGGCCGCGGAAGAAGAGGCTTCCGCCGCCGCCGCCGGGCTCGCGCTCCATCCCGCAGGTGCTCCGCCGCCCGCCGCAGACCCGGGGCCCCCTTCCTCCGCGAGGTAGGCTCCCGGCGCGCGCCGCTCCGGGGCGCCTAAGTGTGGCCTCCGCGAGCCGCCGTCCGGGCGGGCGCAGGGGCAGCCGGGAAAGGGCAACTTTGGCCAACTGCGTGTGGTGGCGGCTCCCAAGCGGAGCGCCGCCGCCTCAGCCCCGCACAGCTAAACTCTGCCTGGGGCCGCCCACCTTTCCCGGGCCCTTCCTTCCGCCCGGCGGCGGCCGCCTCTGCTCTGGGGACCTGGGCGCCGGAGACCGGGACACCGCGGGCATGGCGGGACCTCGCCTCTGCGCCAGGGCGGGAGGCGCGGTCCGGGGCGCGGAGCGGAGCCGCGCGGTGGGACGTGTCTGAAGGGTGATCGTGGTCGCGCGGGGCGCCTCGTTCTGTTGCGCTGCGTTGCTTTATTGCGCCTCGCAGATATTGCGGTGTTTTTCGTTTTTGTTTTTGTTTTTACAACTTGAAAGTTTCTGGCAACCCTGCAAAGAGCGAGTCTGTCAGCGCCCTTTTTTTTTTTTTTTCCCCTAACAGCATTTGCTCACATTGTGTCTGTGTGTGTCACGTTTTGGTTCCCTCGCAATATTTTAAACTTCCCCGTTATTGCTATGTTTTGTTGCGGTGCTCTGCGATCAGCGATCGTCCGTGTGAGGCTGTAATTATGTCGGGGCGCGGAGCACGAAACGCACATGAGACCGACCGCCAACCTCGAACTTACTAGGTGACATGCTCGCGTTCTGACTCTGCTCCACCGCCGGCCTTTCCCGCTCCTCTCGGCCTCCTGCTCCCTGGCCTCCAGCCGCCGTGGCGCCGGTGAGCCCGCGATGGCCTCCAGGTGTCCAGGTGAGAGGAAGAGCCGCACGTCTCTCACTTTAAATCAGAAGCTGGAGATGATCAGGCTCAGCGAGGAAGGCTTGTCCAAGGCCGAGATAGGCCGGAAGCTCGGGCTCCTGCGCCAGACGGTGAGCCAGGTGGTGAACGCCAAGGAGAAGTTCCTGCGGGAGGTGCGGAGCGCCACCCCGCTCAGCACCCGCATCATCCGGAAGCGCAACAGCCTCATTGCCGACATGGAGAAGGCCCTGGTGGTCTGGATAGAAGACCAGGCCAGCCACGACATCCCCTTAAGCCAGAGCCTGATCCAGAGCAAGGCCCTCACGCTCTTCAATTCCATGAAGGCCCAGCGAGGGGCGGGCGCCGCCGAGGAGAAGTTCGAGGCCAGCAGAGGCTGGTTCAAGAGGTTTAAGGAGAGGAGCCGGTTCCCCGACAGAAAAGCTGCGGGCCGAGCCGCCAGGGTCCTAACGGACGAGGAGCTGCTGCTCGTGGACGAACGGAGAAAGTGGCTCCTTGAGGTGGAAGCCGCGCCCGGGGAAGACACGGTGAAGGTCGTTGAGATGACCACAGAGGATCTGGAATATTACGTAAACTTAGTGGACCAGGCGGCGGCAGGGTTTGAGAGGATTGACTCCAATTTCGAAAGAAGTTCCGCTGTGGGGAAAATGCTGTCCAGCAGCATCGCGTGCTACAGAGAGATCCTTCGCGAAAGGAAGAGCCGATCCAAGCAGCAAGCCTCACTGTTCACTCGTTTTAAGACATTGCTACGACCGCCCCAGACTTTGGCAGCCACCACCCTGCTTAGTCAGCAGCCATCAACTTCCAGGCAGGACCCTCCGCCTGCAAAAAGGTTAAGACTCGCTGCAGGGTCCGATGATGGTTAGCATTTTTTAGCAATAAAGTATTTTTTAGTTAAGGTATGTATCTTGTTTTTTGTTGTTGTTGTTGATGTTTTTTAACACAATATACTGTTGCACACTTCGTGGACGTCAGTATAGTGTATACAACTTTTCCATGCACCGGGACACCAAAAGCTTGGTGTGACTTGCTTTATTGTGATAGTCTCTGTACTGCGGAGGTCTGGAACCAAATCTGCAATATCTCCAAGGTATGCCTGTAATGATAATTATAGATGTGTCTATGCAGCATTTCACAGTTTGGGTGGGTGATCACACAGTAACTTCGTTGAACGAAGAAGACAAGGTAAAGATGATTTAGCCTGATGAGGTTCAAAAAGGTAAAATGGCTTGGTCAGGGTCAGTGAGCCAGCTAGTGGCAGAAGGGTAATCATCGATTTTCCAAAGAGCAAATGGCTCTTTTTTTTTTTTTTTTTTTTTTTTTTTTTTTTTTTTTTTTTTTTAACATTTAGCAGGCATTGATCTAAAGTATGCTTGGTGACGACATTTGTCTAGTTAATGGTAGAGTCTAGGAGAAAATAGGTTTTTCTTTCCCAGATTAGTTTATATTACATTTTAGTGATATTAAGGGCAAGCTAGCTTCTAGTATCATTTCTGCCATTAATGGTTTTTGTGACCTTCAGGTTTGGTCTAGGAGGCTATGAAATATTGTTATAATAATGGGAATATGTAAAATCTTTACTCTGCTTCCCTAATTCATAAACACCTACCTAGTTTCTCCAGAGACTAAGATGTCAGCAAGGAATACAACTTTCCAAGAAGTGCTAGTCTTAACTCCTCTTTTGTTAGAGGTAAAACCATCCAAATTTCTGTTATATTTTTGTCAAAAATGGATGGGAAATGATTTATATTTGATGTCTTCTTGTACTTAATAAAGCATCAAAGAAAATTCATACAATTTTTAGCCTGTTTTAAAAGACTACTGTATTTAATAATACATATTGCTAAAAATATGATAGTAGAGATAGGCTAATAAAGCATTTCTCTGTCTCCTATTTCCAGATTGGACTGGTATACCTTAAAGGCATAAAGAATATGGCTCAACTTTGTCCCACTGTGCCCTTTTAAATTATCCATTGAGGACATTCTGTAATAGGACTTAGCTTTTACACCATCCCCTAATGCTCATTTTCCATACTCCCTAAATATATGTATTCCTATTTTAAATTAGTAAGTAATATTTACATATTATGAGAAAACACTGTTCACTCTGGAACAAAATAGAGACTTGAAATCTTTAAAAAGTATCTTATAGCCAAAACCGGTTTGGCTCAGTGGATAGAGCGTCAGCCTGCAGACTGAAAGATCCCAGGTTTAATTCCGGTCAAGGGCATGTACGGTACATTGGTTGCGGGCACATCCCCGGTAGGGGATGTACAGGAGGCAACTGGTCGATGTTTCTCTCTCATCGACATTTCTAGCTCTCTATCCCTCTCACTTCCTCTCTGTGGAAAATCAATAAAAGATATTTTTTTTAAAAAGTATGTTGCACTAATTGCTTTATTTTCCATTTCTTTGTACACAGATCTGAAGAGATTTCCTGAGTGGAGTGGAGTTGTTCAAAACCATCTTGTACCGTGTGGCATTTGTTAAAAAACATGTTTGGGAGAGTGACTCTACCACAAATGCTTTTTGCTGGCATCCTTGGAATTGCTGGAGGGATATATATTTTTCAACCAATATTTGAACAGTATTCCAGAGATCAGAAGGAATTAAAAGAAAAGTTGAAATTGGTAGAGGAATCAGAAAAGAAGAAAAGTTAATACTACAGCGAGTTGAACTATAATTGCTTAAAGTTCCATTGAAATTATGTTGACTATAAATAGTCTCATAAAGACTTCTGAAATACATTTTAAACATAAATAAATCATAAATGATGATTTTTAAAATTAGTACTGTCAATGTTTACTGTCCTTTTATTTGCTATTTTATTTTTTTTCATCAGGGCAGATTAATAATTTCCTTTTAAGTAAAAATGAATATTGGAAGGGATATTTTATTTCTTAGAAATATTTTATAAAATATCTTGGAGTGGTATTTACAGTAGTGTTTGTAGATGAAATGAATCAAGATATCCACCACAAGCATAATGTCTCTTTAAAAAAAAAACCTTTTTATTGATTTCAGAGAAGAAGAGAGAGGGAGAGAGAGGCAGAGAGGTAGAAACATTAATAATGAGAGAGAATCATTGATCCATCAGCTGTCTCCTGCTTGCTCCCTACTGGAGACCAAGCTCACAACCCCAGGCATGTGCTCTAACCAGGAATTGAACCTTCAATCTCCTGGTTCATGGGTGGACACTCAACTACCACGCCACACCAACCAAACAGAATGTCTCTCAGTTGGCCTACAGTTAGCCTTCTTCAGTCTTTCAACTGCAGCCCTGTCTCATCCCGGGCAGAATGGCGGAGTAAGTTCAGAATTGGGTTGACTCAGATCAAATGAGGTTTTATATGGTGCTATATAGGGTGGAAAGTATGACACAGATCTATTTAACCTGCTAAGCAAATTTGCATTAATATTGGTGGTTAGGGAAGAATTAATTTGTTATGAAGCTATTATTCATACAGCTAAAGGGTGTTTTGAGATTGCTAAGAATGAATACAATATTTTGTTTTGTTTATGTTTTCTTGTATTTTTTGTGTTGGTTTTTTTTTGGATACTACTTTTTCAGCTAATATTCTTAAACTTGTATTTTCAGTGAGAGCTACAAATGTAATCACACATGTACAAAGTGCTTTAAAAAATTCTGATTGTTGAAAGTATTACATATGTCCCCCTTTCTTCTCCCATTGACCCCTGCTGGAGCCCCCCCGATACCCCAACCTTCACCACCCTGGTGTCTATGTCCATAGTTATGGATATATGCATACCAGTTCTTTGATTAATCTCTTTTCACCCACCCTCCCTGCCTTCCCTCTGAGATTTGACAGTCTTTTCCATGCTTCTGTGTCTCTGGATCTATTTTGTTCATCAGTCTATTTTGTTAAGTTAGATTCCACATATGAGTGAGATCATGTGATACTTTGTCTTTCTCTGACTGGCTTATTTCACTTAACAATACTCTCCAGGTCCCTCCATGCTACCTCACAGGGTAAAAGATCCTTCTTTCCTTCTTTTTTATTGCTGCATAGTAATCCGTAATATAAATGTACCACAGCTTTTTTAACCACTTGTCTACTGATGGGCACTTGGGCTGATTCCAGATCTTAAGTTGTAAATTGAGCTGATATGAACATACAGCTGCATATATTCTTTCTGATTGGTGTTTTGGGTTCCTTAAGGTATATTCCTAAAATTGAGATCACTGGGTCAAATGACAAGTCTGTATTTAATTTTTTGAGAAAAAGCTATACTGTTTTCCATAATGGCTGCACCAGTTTGCATTCCCACCAGCAGTGTACTAGGGTTCCCTTTTCTCCACATCCTCGCCAGCATTTGTCATTTGTTGATTTGTTCATGGTAGCCATACGGACAGTTGTGAGATGGTACCTCATTGTCATTTTTTGTGTGTGTGTGTAGAGTCTTTAGGGTTTTACAGAGTGTTTTTTTTTTTTTTAAACTAAACTCATTTTTAAAGAATAAACTCAATTTTTATTATTGATTTTTTTTTCTTGAAAAGTAAATTCATTCTAGCTTAATCTAAGTTGAATAGACAGTATGAGTAATTTAAAATAATAGAGAGTGAAGAAAGAATCATAAATGTAAGTTCATTAAAAAGACCAAACAATACAAAAATGTACAAAGTGAAAATTATCCAGGCATACATTGATTTAATCAACACAGTTAATAGTTTAGTGAGCTTTTGAGACTTTTTCTTTAATGCATATAAAATATATAAAAATTTAAATTAATGTACTATTATCAATTATCAAATATCAATTTGCTTGGCTACAGGTAGACTGGGGCTCTGCTATATACACTGAGTGGCCAGATTATTATGATCTCTGAATGCATAATAACCTGGCCACTCAGTAGATATCCTATATAATAAAAGACTAATATGCAAATTGTCCCCTCAACCAGGAGTTCGACCAGCAGGCAGGCCGGCCAACCACCCTTGTCCCCTCCCCCTGGTCAGGCTGGCCAGACTCCACCCAGGCACGAATTCCTGCACTGGGCCTCTAAAATACACACGCCAAAATCAGTTTGGCTCAATGGATAGAGCGTCGGTTTGGGGACTGAAGGGTCCTGGGTTCGATTCCGGTAAAGGGCATGTACCTTGGTTGCAGGCATATCCCCAGTAGGGGGTGTGCAAGAGGCAGCTGATCGATGACTCTCTCATTGATGTTTCTATCTCCCTTTCTTTCTTAAAAAATCAATAAAATATATTTTAAAAAAATAAAATAAAATACACACACGCACACACACACTGAGTGGCCAGATTATTATTCATTCAGAGATTACAATCTGGCCACTCATCCTATTGTAGAATGTAGGCTCAGTGAGCAGAATATCTGGCCACTCAGTGTATGTCTTCCTATTGTGGGATGTAGGCTCAATGAGCAGAACTCTGGGATATTACAGAATATAGGATTGAGATAAACAGAGGAAATGGAATTGTAAACTTATGTTCAATTGTAGCAAATAGCATGTCTTCTCACATTCTGTTGGTTTAGAGCATGCCATGTGGTTAAGCCCAAAATCAAAGGCAGGTACATAGACTTCCCACAGGATTCACAGTCAAGTCACATGACAATGGGTAGGAATACATAATCGTATGATAGCCAACTAATATAATCCTCTATCTAACATCAAGTTAAATGGAATTTGATCCTCCTTTTGAGAAGGATGCATTAATCAGTTTTTACATATCAAGTGCCAGAGGATGAACTGATTTTTTTCTCTAGTGAAGATACTGCAGCCATTCAAAGTGTTGGTGAGGATGTCAGGAAATGAAAACCCTTATTCATACACTTACAGTAAAACTGTAGCTGCTAGGCTGAAACCGGTTTGGCTCAGTGGAT